TAAATGTCTGACCGGGAAAATGCATTTCTCCAGTCTAGTAAGAAGGAACTGCTGCAACTAGATTTCGAGAGCATATTGAAATACTTTCGAGTACATTTGCCTAAGCGTTGTCGAAGCGAAGAAGTATCGCGGTCCATCATGAAGTTAGCCTGTTCCATCACCTTAAAGAAGCTGAAGAAGTACGAAGCAGAATTTATGACACTCAAAGGTAATTACATATTTTATGTTTAAACCTTACAGACAAGTACGTCCAACGATCTTGCAACAATGCTGTTGCATGCGTCGTCCGCACATGATAAGAATAACCGTCGAGTAAATGTAAATTCGATTTTCAATGGCTTATTTCTATGAAACATTTACGAAGACCGAACTATCGGACTAATTTTTAAGATGATTCGCAGCGCTCTATAAATCGTTAACTGCCAAAGAGAACTACATCATATTGATGTCGATAACGCGTTTCTAGTTCGTCTCTTCGTACGATGTTTTATCCAGTCTTACACGAAGGAATTCGTCAGACCGGATGGAAAATCGTACGAACGAGTAAATTATTCGATCTGTGCTGTTCACAGTATAATTCGTGTAGGAAATATCTGGTTGCACAAAGTGGGTGGTGGTTGAATGCTATAAAGTATCTCAAATTGCGCTAAACGATAAATATTATCTAGCGAAGTACGCATTACTATTTGAAGAAGAAACCGAGTGCGATCTGTTTTTTTTTTACAATTTCTCCTTTAGTGGATTTCTTGTTATTTTTGTATATTGTATAATTTATTGTATAATATTTATCGAACGCATCGTCAAAATCGTAGAATAGCAAGCTGTGTAAATGTGTTGCTGATAAGAGGAGAATTCAGTGATACACGATTTTAACCAGTTGAAACGTGAAGTACAGTCATTATTCAAATTATTTCAAGCGAATACGAGGATAGTGTTACTAGAATCTATAAACTGGTTGAAATGGTACAAGGATGTACGCGTTTTCAGAATAAATATAAAATATGCCTTCAAGTGGTTTTGCGTTACGCTTATTATGGATTTTTGTTTGCAAACGCTAAGATAGATCACGGGCATCACTTGTTAGAAACAAAAGAGCATCGTTTCGGTATAAATTTAATCTTGTTTTTTTTTAGTTATTTATGACAATGAAGTTTATCAAATTTTATACAATTGAACAAAAAATAAATCAAATTAATATAATAAAATTTTTTCGCGCTTATCCTTCTAAAGTTTTTGTATATCATCTTGTACATTGTTTTTTAAATATTATTTATTTTTGCTTATTGGAAATAAATCGTCCGTTTAGAACGTTGTTTTTAATTTTGTTAATACACCTGTGTATACCCTGTTCCTTACAGACACCTTACCATTTGTTGCTTCTTCAGTTGCAATCGCATGTGACAGATTGTAGTTGTCTCGAGAGACAAACGCTTCCAGCTTTCTATTTTACTAACTATACTAACTATACTAACTATACTAACTGTAAATTCAAAGAAATTGCATTGTAAACGCCTATCGGGAAATCGTTTAGCAACTAGTACTTCCGCAGCGCGACACGAATTTATCAAGAATTTGTATGCAAAGTTGTCAGCGCTCGGAAGAACATATAGAAGTCACGTTTTCGAACATGTTGGTCCAAGGTACGCCTCTTACGATTAATTACACGCGTGAACTTGATCACATCATTTCCCATTGTACGGAGCAGAATGAAACGTGTATCTCGAGTATATTATAAATTGATAGATTAAATCACTCGAAACATATTAACTGACTTTACTTAATGACGTGAATGCGTTCGTCAGAGTTATCATATACATGCTTACGTACTGTAGAAGGTAACAAATGTATCAAGTTGACAGCTGTGCCAGCAGTTTAAAATTGGCTACGGTTCATTCTGCACAGGCATGTAGTGGAACATCGGTATCTGCTTCTGCCAGATATCGCATATCCGACAGTTAGATTGAAGACTGAAGTCATTCATTTTAAATGCTGTGCCGTCGGAACGATGAGTCGTATTGTAAAGGCATTGATACAGAGTAAGATTATATTAACGAGCTCCCTTACATAATGATACAACTTTTTCTCCTACGAAGTGGCCTACTGCACATATATGTATGAGGCTACACAGATTACAATCGTACACGCGCACTTAATATGTACACTTGTCATCGACGTGGTTTGTAAACGGCAATTTTCTTTGTCCCACAGAGGCGCAAGAAAACGCGGATGAATACAGTAACGAGGTAGAACAATTACGAGGTACAGTGGCGAGGAACGAGGAAGAGAAACAGAGATTGGAGGCTGAACTGGTTCAAGTTAAGGAAATGTTGCAACGCGAGGTGGCTAGAGCAGACGCGGAAAGTCGACGTAGCAACATCATTATTGCCGAATATAAACAGGTAAGAGTCCGTGACCGATGCTGTTCGACGTGCATGCGACGTCTTGTTAAAAGCGTATGCTCGTTCCCAGATTTGTCAACGATTGGAGGACGATTACAATGCCGCGAAGACAACGCTCAGCGAATTGCGGGTGAGAAGCGAACATTGAAAAACACAGGTTACAGAGTACTCGCGCTACGGAGTCGTCAGAAGAACCGTGATCTTCAGCAGCGATCGCAACGGCTTCCGGACGGAGTCCGTAGCGCGAATACTCCAATGGACTGGCACAGACATGCATTAAAGCCGTCGTATCTTGCAGTCTAAGGTCTCGAAATGCGAAAAGTGCAGGAGTTGTATAATGGATTCATCGAACATATTGGCAGACATCGCGCATCCTTTGGAAAACCGTAGCGTAGATCCCATGTTGCACAGAGTGCAGGAGAGGGTGCGAGAATTGGAGTTGGAGTTGGCCCAAACTAAGCTGGCCCACGTCGAGGCCGAATGTAGAAATCAGGTGAGCGAACGCGTACTCGAGCGCTGTTCGACGTGCGCGGCACGTGTACCAGTAATCAGAATGACGAGGCTAGCTCGGTTTTCAGGACTTGACGCATCAATTGCACGCGACTGCTTCCGAACTTCAAGCGGCGAGAAACAGCTGGCCGTGGCTCAGCAAGACGCTCTCGAGTATAAAAGAAGCGGCGAACAAAAGAGAAGTGATGGCTCCCTCGTTAATGAAAGATTTAAGACGGGACAGCGCGCCCAGTGGTGAGATGCACCACTTGATACATTCCCGTAATCGCGAGACCCGCGATAATTTCAAAGAAATTGTGTGATGCAGTAAGTAGAGTCTAACACAATACAAGCTTGAACGAGGAAAGCTACTTCCAACTAAAGGAAGGAACAGCTTAATCGTACACATGATAATACACACGCATACGCATTAAAACGATGTCACTTTAAACCAGGCGATGTTTCGGAAGAAGAATCGGTACGTCACGAGAAAGAGATGTGTCTCATTAGACACGAATTCGAACATAAAATGTACGTCCATAATTACACGTAGTGTTCTAGACTTTGTTCACGATATACGTTCGGTATACTTTACGTCAGATTCCTCACGTGCACTGTTTTATTTATTTACACGTAGTGGTCTCTTTTTTTTAGCGAAGGCAGCTTTATCGATATTAATCAACGTTGATATTAATCTTGAGATATACCTTGTTGATAACGTTATAATTTGTTTGTTATACTCATTTCTACCTAAATTCGGTATATGAATTATCGATGTATCGTTCGAAGTTCCATTTTCTTTTGTATGCTTCAGATTTTACGCGAAATTGGAAATTTCTTGTATTGAGAAGTCGAGGGGGGCATGCGTAGAAACGGAAAAAAATGATTACAATAGATGTTAGCGATAAGTTCACTACATTTTGTATGAAACTAGTTTAAGAACGTGGAGAGTAGAAGTGCTATAGCATACGATGCAATGTACATAAATGGTGCTCTCAGGCAACCGTTAAACGTGACAAACTGCAGAAGTCAAAGATTTCACAATCTGCAGATTCATTAATTAATTTTTTGTACGAACATTATGCCGACATTCCAAAATTGTACACGTGCGTTTACCCTATTTGATTTAAGTAACGTCTTATTTTAACCGAGAAAAACTATAACACTGATCCACGTATACGCGCTTGCAACCGGCTATCTACGAATCGCGACGAGCACATAGAAAATATTTTACAGTCTTCAATTTTTTACGCGATATTCCAGTTATCTCGCAGTGTTTTTTAATAACCGTGAATAACGATACACCGACGTTTTGTACGTACATTAACAACTGGACGACGTAACTTAACATAAGGCTAGACATAGTTCCCGCGATATGGAAGGTTTTTCCTTCGTTCGTTTCGTTCTCTCTTGTTTGTTTCTTTTCTTTTTTTTTGAAGAGTTTGTTTGGTAAGTGCTGTTTCTTCGACAGAGTATACACGCGTTACACTTAAGGCCATAAATTATGTTAAGGAAATTATGTTAAGGCACTGTTTGAAGTTAGAATTTAATCGGATGTTTAAGAAACCCTCCTTGTCAAGCGAACAATAAAATCGAATAATAAATATTAGAGGACGTTTCGACGCATATCTTAGACTGTAAATCTAGCTTCGTAATTAGTGCCATTCGTTTTACGGGACTACCGATTAATTTATTTCCGCGCTGTTCGTACTGCGGACTACTTATCAGTATGCATTATCAGCGATTAATAATCGTGCCATTGTCTTGCGTCGTAAAAATTTACGGAAGAGATTGGTAACGATTACTCCTCTTTTTCTATCCTCTCTTTTTATAGATCGATGATAATTGAATTCCTTCTGTTCCTTTGAATTTCTCGTCGTTAAATTGATATTTATCTAAGTAATATATACACGATGGAAAGCAAAGTTTATGGTCACTCTAGAAATTCGTACAATAGCTCTCACAATAACCTTGGAACTTGTATGGAATAAAAGATATAACTTGTGTAAATACAAAAATGAAAAAACAACGTATGATATCGAAGTAAGCTACTAACAAGTCGTGTAAAGATTTAGATTACAACTTATGTATCACTGTACACCTTGTAATGTCATTCCACTATTATTGAAATAAACAAAGATATATCTGTCTATTTCCTAAGTGTTTCGCGGTATTAATAGTACACGTGCCGACTACACGTACGGTATACTACGAGATTGGATCTTCACCAAGAGTGCATTTAAAGATCATCAGTTCGTTAGGGAAGCACGATTTATTCGATCGAAATGATAACGGAACGATATGCATTTCAGTCTTCGATAAATTTCAATAAATAATAGAACACCTTGTTACAAATCAACCCAATGTTTTATTAATTCAGCGAAAATAAGTGCAAACGTAACATGTGAATAAACTTTCTTAAATCATACACAGCTAAAGTAGGACCTCGGAAAATTCTATTCGATCACTTAATAAATAACGCGACGAGACTCGTGAAAATCGTAAGAAAATATATATATATATATGTTTTTTAAACACGGAAATCTCAAATTCGTAGTATACAACGGCGTATAGATATATAAAGTACTGAAATATTGTCTCACGTTCACCGAATGGAAAGTAACTCCTCGATATGAGAGACGCGAAGACGAATGTGTTACGAGTTTGCTTTTCTGCGATAACGCGAGATCAATGATACGAAAAAGAGGAAGGTAATTTTTCCTCTAACGAAAGCAATGCTCTTCAGAAACCTTAACCTCAAGTGTGTCTCGAGACAGACCAAAAAAAAAATACGAAAAACGAAAAAAGTACACTTCGATAACATTACCTTTCAACTTCTACCTTCAGACTTTGCAAGCGTGTCAGAGCGAGATATGTCGATTCGTCTAGACTTATTATTTCGAACGGTATCACGTGTCACCGGCCCACTGTTCACTTCCGCTATCGCTGTTCGAAACATCTTCGGCATTGTCCATCAAGACGTTTTCATCGGCAACGTTCGCGTTGCCTCTCATCTCATTATTTTCTAAATCACTGTCTTCTTCGGCGCTGCTATTGAACCCTTCGTCGTGTTCCGCGTTCACGTTTCTTGCATCGTCATCTGCTGAAAAGCAAGAGGAAAGGAATGCATTCATTACGTATTCGCATTCGAACTCCAAGGATAATTACCTGGTGCTCTGTTCTCGAGTCTAAGCTCCCTGCGTTCTTGCATGCGCATTTCAACGTCGAGAGGATTAGCCATGTTAAGGATTCTTAGCAACCATATGGGGAAACCATTCTCTAGAACGTAAATATCATTCTCGTTTTCAATATCATTTTCGAGCACGTCGATCAACGGCTGCAAATCTTCTAAATCATTTAATTCTGCAGCCATCATGTTGTTACCTTCACCGTCTCTATTATTGTTAGCAAGATCGCCGTTTTCAACTTGGACAACCTCGAGAGCTTCGAGCCTCGGAGCCTCTGCTATGCTGGGTGGCTCGGAATCGGATATATGATCCTGCGCTATGCTCGACAGATCGAATTCAGGCGTCATATCCTGAGCGGAGGCTGTGTTTGGGTAACCGGAGTCCATTACTTCCGGGGACCAACTGGTCGACGGTGTTTCTGTTTCCGGAGAGGAAGGTTTCAACTCGATGCTTTCTATTATTTCTATCGAAATAGCATTTGGGTCTCTAATCTTACATTTCTCACTTTTTAATACTGATTGAGCATCCCTTGCGCTCTCGTTGGACTCGAGGGGTCTGTTTTCTACGCTAACATCTTTGGCCTGATGACGACACGTTCCAGTACTATTTACACGTTTCATTCTCGAATAGCGATCGTCAAGCGATTCAGATTCTGATTCAGTCTTGATATCGAAAGTGAAATCGACGCGAGACTCTCGATTCGTTAAAGGAGTTTCTGTATCACAATTTGATGATTCTGCACCATTCGATAAATGCAAGATTGCTCGATCTTCTACTGACGTGTCTGCGATAGAAGTGTCCGGATTATTTACCGACTTGTTCCTCTCATTGCTCAAAGAATCCGAATCAGACAATTCTTCTGTCGTCCCTTTGTTGACGTTGAACGTAGAACCTATCGTCGACGTATCGCTACTCGTAAGCGTATCGTTGGAATTATTTGTCAATCCAGTTTCATCGAGATATGTATAACCGTCACGATCGCTGAAACTAGACGTTGTCGCCGTAGATATGTGTACACTCTTACTGTTTCGCGGAGATATCTCCCTACTGATGCCTAACGAATCGTTAGAAGAAGTCGTCAAACCTGTCGCGTTGGAGGAACTATTGTCGCTTTTCGACCCTTTATAATCGAGGGACCTACGCTTTTTACTCATTGTATTCGGTTTAGCCTGGATCTTCGGCGAACTTGTAAATTGTGGGCTACTTTCTATCAATGTATTAGTACTAGGAACGGTGTTCAACTTTATATGCTCATTTTTCGACGTTTCGCTGTCTCGTTGAATACTTAGTGTCTGCTCTCGACCGAGACAAATTGCATTTTCACTAGTGTTAACGTTTACACGTTCGACATCGGAATCTTCCATTTCATTGTACGATGTATTCAAACAGATGCGATGTAAGGAATGATCCTCGTCGTTCGAATTGCTTCCCTTCGACGTTTGACGTTCGTCCTCGCTCGCTTCCATGATAACCTTTTGTTCAAGCGAATTATTTAACATCCATTGATTACTCATACTTTGATCGCACATACTATTGTCTTGCAAACGTTGATCGACTCGAACGGTCTGTAAAAGGTACGGCTCGGGCGAGGTAGACGCGCGCGAAACAGACATGTACAGTGGAACGTCTAACGTGCGGTTGAGTTTTCGTACAGAGTTGAACGCGACGCCATCCCGAGTGCCCGTCGTTGTTTCGAGGAGCGAGTCTTGTCTCGTATCTTCTTCGAATTCGCGTCCATAGGAAGAGTCGGCTAACGTATTGCTGAAGCTATCTACACTAGGCAACGGGTTTAAATTTTCTCTACTGATTTCAGCGGTTTCTGCGACGGTTTCAGTGTCGATCATCACCTCGGATGCACTGTCTAACAATAAAACGTTTTCGTTGTCGAACAGATCAGTATTGTCTTCTCGGGCAGGATCGTTTTGCGGTATGATAATACTCGGTTCTTGATCCCAATTTTCACTGTACCATGTGCTTGAGTCTGGATGTGCATATCTGGAGTTTATAGGTGGTCCAGGCTCTTGAGTCCAGGAGTTTCCGTCTGAGCCGGAATAGTTATCGTTCCACTGGACATCATCATCCATCAGATCATAATCAGAATACGTCCGCTCAGGTACGACTACGACCGGTCCTAATCCACGATCTTCGATCGTCCAGTTAGCTTCCTCTAAGATCGTCTTCAACGATTCCATCGAAACGTGAAAAGATCTCTTCAACATGTCTACTAATTGTTCGAGCGATATTGCCTCCATCGCCTCGTCCTCTATATTGTACGTTGACAGCTGTCTAATGTAAAAGGTAGCTTCGTCGAGAATCTTCTCTTCGTCCGAACGATTGTCTACCCGAAACGGATATTCGTATCTTGCCACCGTCTTGAATAAACCTTCGATGCCTCTGCTGTAAATCTCTTTGTCGGTGACGCGTTCGAAGATTGCCATTTGGCTGCAACATCCCAAGTGTTCTGTACCTTCCGGGCCTTTACAAATCCCGTCGAACTTCACCTCATAGTCCGGGTATCTCGAAGTAACGTTTTCTGCCCAGTCTTGAAATTGCTGTCTAGTCCACTCGAATTTATGGTCAGGATGTCTGAACCCAGAAAAGTTTGGGAACAACACGTTGAAGTCTGCGTTTGGCGTTGTTATCACTACCAATTTCGGCTGGATGTATCCGAAAATGTTGTGAGGAAGGTCTGTCAGTTCGTTTGGATACAAATGCTCGATCAATTCTATGCAAATCACGGCGTCTGTGTTTTCCAGCTTCTTGTCGTTCAGGGTCACGCTACCTTCGCATACTTCGATCACAAGAGGCGCAGTCCTCGTGTTTAAATACTCGCAGACCAACGGAGCGGCCTTGTTCTCAAATGATTCTAACAGTGTTCTATCAATATCCACGCATAATATTTCCTCGATACCCTGAGTGTTTTTCATATAAACCAAGAAATCGAGCTCCGCACATCCGAAATCGACAACCTGCAACCAAACACCTTCGTAACTCGTGACGACGACGAATCGATCATATAACCTACAAGCGTTCCGTGCTTTACGAATTCGCGATGCGTCGTCATTCGTGGAACGATAACCGCTCAGATGTAATGAACAAGACGTTTACGATGATACGAGAGAATTTAAGATGTATTCGCGAGGTAATGAAAAAGTTGTACGACACGTGAACGAGCGGAATATACCTTGCGTAGTTTTCCCTGATACATCGAATTCCTGAGCACATCGATGACGGCAACGTATCTTTGTACGTACGCTGGAGGGAAAAACTTGATAGATTTTTGCTCGAAATCTTGACGCACTTCACAATCTCTGAGCATGAAATCTGCATCACTAACATTGAACCGTTTCTCCGTGCCGATCGTCTCATCCTTTATAGCTCTTCGCTTAGTTCGATAACTCTGATACACGAATTTACCGAAGAAGTAAAGCACGTGGAACAGTACGAGGATCATGTCAACAACAAAAATTAACCGCGACTTTAATTAATATCAAGTTTCATCAACGCATCCCGGTTTACTTCCCGTTGTGCGTAATATCGGCCATACTGTTTTGTTTTGAACACGATTCGAGAATCACGCGCTGATTGGCCACGAGGATTCGAAACGCGCCAATCGTAAAATTTCGCGGAACAAGTAAACACTTCGTCCCTTAATTCAAAAAAAATCTACCTTTTGAGAATTATCTATTAAGATTCTTTGTGTTTCATCGCACAATTTATTGCATTAAAAATCACAGAAGTCAATCTTAATGGTATGCTACGCACATACTTTTCCGATCGTTTTGTACGGTTTTTGTACAGGATTTATCCGAAGCGGACGGAGTGCTGTTCGCCTGAAAACCTCTTCAACGTGTGAAAATGTTTCCGCGCAGAGTTACGATTCCAGAGAGAATTATCTAGGAAGCATTACTTCGTTTATCTAGGAAGCACATATACACATACTACATGAAGTGGACTGCAGTCGTTGTCGCAGTGCATTTTCGGCTGATCGGAATGTGCCTGTCCGTACACGCTCCGTGTAAATGTAATGTACGCAGTACGCATAGGTGGAGGATGCGCATGGTCGTGCACCAGGTAGAGTGGTTGGTAGAGGAACGCGACGACGCAGATGCAGAACGGATACATGCAATTTCTACGAAGTGTGTAGGTGGTAGGAACCACCGGAACCACCACCGACGAGGGTAGTCCGAGTTTCACAGAGAAGCTGGTGGGCAGCTGCGGTTGACTTCAGAGAGTCGGTGATCGAGAACAAGGTACCGAGGTTACAAGAGACGGTCGAGAGATAGTATTGCGGTCAATCGCATCGTTGAACACCGGACAGCCGAAAGAGCAACTGCCGACAGTATGTACGGAGAAATGGAGTTACGCGAGGTGAATCGAAGCTTCGACGTCGAGGAGGAAACTACGGAACTGCTACCGTCCTCCCAACGCGATAACACGGAAGTCGAAAGCTATTTCATCGATTACGCTATTCAGAAGGAAATAATAAATCGCAATCGATGCCCCGCCAGTCGTCGTTTGCTCAGTCAAACGGCTCACTTGGCAGATTACAACTTCGCCAATGGCAATCAAAAGGTAGTCCGCTCTTCTAGTCATCTCTCGAATGTGTTATGCAGTTCAGTCGAGAACCAGGAGAACGTTTTAACGATCGTTGCGATCGGATTTGCAGGACTCAGCGTCGCCGTTCGGTATCAGCATGATCCACACGTCGAACGCGAATTGGCCTCCTTCTAGAAAGAGAGAAGAGGCGAGAGCGTTGGAGAATCTACGAAAACGAGTGGAGCAGTCGAAATTGTACAAAGCGAGCACGGTGACAGACACTTGCGAATCGACCTCGGCGTCGATACTGAATGAACGGGCTCAGCTCGACAATCGGCCGAAGCTATGGAAAAAGGTGAGGACGCGGGATCTTTCAATGATCTAGTTCGAATGCTCAGGACGTTGTTCAGGATCGAGACGAACAAGGCTAGATGGTTTAGTTGACTGTGTTGGAACGGCACATTTTTACTGCCCCTGCTCTTTTCTGTCGATGCCACGTAGATCCTGAGTAACAGGCCGATGAGTATCGCGCACGACAGTAACGATTTGGAGACTGACTGGCGAGACAGCGAGTTTATTACCGAATGTCTGTGCTGGCACAACGTCTATCGGCAAAGGCACAACTCGCCGCCTTTAACGATGTCGCCGCAGGTAAGCTGCTTTTCAAATACAAGCACGTACACGAGACAGAACGAAAGAACTATGTGGGAATTACCAAATCTTAAAGATAAGCCAAATATTCCGTTAGAATTTCCGGGTTCGCGCAGTGTTCCATTGCAGAAAAAGTTTGGAAAACCCTGGCGTAGACGGTACGCGTAGGGGGCTCTGACAGATTTCGTCGGACCTTTCTCAAATTGACGCCGTCGTCTCTCTTACAGTTATGCGAATACGCACAAACGTGGGCCAACCATTTGGCACACACGAACACGTTTTACTATAGAAACGATCGAGGGGTAGGACACAATCTCTACTGTCGGCCCGGCGGAGCTATTACTACGGACGTAACCGGGCAAGACGTCGCGTCGTACTGGTATTCCGCGGTAAAGCAATATGATTTTTTGAAAGAACCGGACATTCTCCATGCCAATGTGAACGCAGGTATCCTCTCAAAGAGTCTAATTAATTGCGGAAGCAATACGTAGACGTTAGTATCGAAGAATTAGTAGTGTCGTCGACGCATCCATCGAGATTAAGCCTGCTCTGTGTTCTTTGCGACAGGTCATTTCACCCAACTAATTTGGGCGAGTAGTCGTTATTTCGGAGTTGGCAAAGCTCGCAGCAGAAGCGGGAAGATCATCGTAGTAGCTAATTATCAGCCGGTCGGCAACGTGTCGGGACAATTTCAAAGTAACGTGTTACCCCCTTTACCCGAGAACGTGAACGCTCTGTTATCCTCCCCGCGACAGCCATCCGTGAAAGTGTACCGCGATCACTGCGTCACGTCCGATTCCCCGCCGCTGGCGTCGTCCTCGGTGCCGCTCTCGGACACGGCGTCGATCGACAGCGACCGTTCCTCGGTCAGTTCTGCGCAATAATACAGACGGCCGAGTTGCCTCTTCTGCGTTTGCACGCGCGGATGGGACAGGCGTTGAACAGTTTTCTCCTCCCTCTCTAATCCCCTTGCTCGGCTCACGTTCTGTCCTGACGAATCTCGTTCTTTCGACTCGAATCAGAGTCGTCGGAGAAACCGTGACAATCCCGAAACGCATTCGGAAGATTTCGTTTGAGCGTACACGCGTTTGGTCGAAGAAACAATCACGTTTCGTCGGGAACGCTTATTTCCGTGACGAGGGACAGGGAGAAGGTACGATGGAACGGATGGAAATTGCAATTCAAACTTCGATATCGGCGTGCAACGTGGAACGGGCATACGCGTATATACACATGTACAAGGCCTAAAGCGGGAGTAAATACCGGAACGTTTTCAGTTTTTCATACATTCCGAACAGCCTGCGAAGAGACCGCAAGACCTACTATACGAAGTACGAATTGCATATTGAGCTGCGAGTTAATTTTCATTTACGAACGACCTATATACGTATTGTAAAGAGTCTTTCAATCAGGAGGGATATTTTTATCTCTATTGGAAGCGTCGAATATATTATACATTTTTTTTGTTAAATTACCTATTTCCGCTTGGCACGTGTACGTATAAGTTCGAACTTCTCCTCCGACAGGAAAATCTAACTTGTTAAATAATATAATGTACCTCAGTGGCTTATTGTTACCGTAATTTCTTGATACTAAGAATACATTTCTATCAAACGCGAGTTTTATCGAAGCGAAATTGTAATGCGCGTACCTATACTTATAAATACGTTATCTCATTGCATGTTTACTCTTAAGAACACATTTAGTTTAACGCGAATGAGAGAAATGTAATCTCTCGGCGAACCCAGCCTTAATGAAAGACTGTTTAAAATTATTTGTATAGTTTACGCACAATGTTCAGTAAAGAACTAGTTGCCTCATATGTAAAGAATACGTATATATATACACGCATTATCCACAGGTATTACTTAGGCTCGAAGCAGATAAGCGATTTTCCGTTTTGTAAACGTCTCGATAACGTGTCTACATAGATGACCGTGCCTAAGTCCTACGTATAACTGGATCTAGTGTCCGTTTGCTTACGATAATAAAATTCATCCGGAGCTTGTCCAAGTTACACAGCAATACGAAAGAGATATCGAATACGTAGATGCGAACTACGTGAATGTGTAGATTCCCCGCGTTAGGCAATGCAGAGCCCTTTGCGTTACGACATATCGAATTAATTTAATCTTTGGATTTCCGAACATTTTGCGATGAGTAGAACGCGAATTTCTAGGCCGTTTTACAAACATGATCAAAACATTTATAATAAAGCGGTTCGTTTGAACACGGTACGTAGAGTGCTGTGTCGCAGGAACGGCAGAAGCTGTTAGTCCTTGATAATCATGTAAATATCTACGTATACGCTGTTAATGTTGTTGAAACTTGAAACTTCTTCTAAGAACCGTCCGCGTTTAAAGTATCAGACGTACTATCATTGCGTACGTCTGAGACGTCGTTGACTCGTTTGCCTGTGCATGCCGCGATACGATGTATCGTCTCTCTCTGTGTAAATATTTTTAGTTAGAAAGTATGGTAATTATAAAATTCCTAATCCAGGAGGTATCGTGCGTTAAGAAAGACACTTGCGCTTCCTAATCGCTTGATTCAATATGCGAATAGATTGGTAATTATATCTCGAATGTGTACCGACACCGTTGAACGACTCAACGGGCGACGTATACGTCCTATAGGCTGTGTATAATACAAGGTAGCGCTCGAAATGATTCGACGGAAAAATGTTCCAGGAGAGTCGAACGGCGTCTCGAAGGATACGTAAACTCGAAGATGTATAATTTTTATATCTGAGACGTTCCTTCGTCGAATCATTTGAAAAGTTCTGCGCGACGTTGACATAACGCTACGTACGCGCCGCATACGCATATCCGTATTCCCAATAATACTGCCAATAATCAGATTTATCGCTAACGATCGAACGTACAACTGTCGTTCGTACGATTTCACGATGTTTCAGTTCCCTTATCAAAGCGATAGACGATCAACATAATTTCGGCCTCTTACTATGTGCGGCTCGCAATAATAGTGACATGCGGCTTCAATAGATATCATGTTACTCGTATAGTTTTAATGGGCAATTCTCATCTCGTATTATACTTTTGAAATGCTGATAATAATTCGTTATACGGTTGTTATTTATGATGTATCGCTCGTATTTAGTATAAGATTACAGCGTTAAACTGAACAATCGTGGCTGATGAAATAAATTTATCGAAATACTATGTGTGGACAATTGCGAACAAATAGTAATAATAATTTAATATCACGAACAAACTCCGCGGGTAACAAGCAATACAAGAAGCTGAACTCTGATTCGATGCAAACGGTTCGACTCTAATTCAGTGCAAGGCAAAAGATACAAAAAACGAATTTTTGATTCTCGCATAACTCGTACCAATAATTCGCAATGCTAAATACGGTCGCGGTTGCCCAAGTCGTTGGGGTGGCAGTAGCCATCCCGCTGGCTTACAAACTAGAACGAGCATAGTGACGAAATAGTAACCGAACGATTCTGCATTTAGGAAATCGTATGAACATAACTTCTGAATGCACGATCATTCAAGGTGCATATGGAACCAGGCCTCTTCAGCCGTAGCCTCTTCTTTCTTCGGGCGACTTCGCCCCAGTTGGAATTGGAAATACGCGTAGATCGGATCCGAAGATCACGGGTCTGTAAAAGCACCGCGAGCGTGCTTCGTCTCGAACGGAATGCATTTCGTTTCAAGCACACTGCGTCGATCGATCGAATGTCCTGAAACAGGTTGGACACAGCGAAAAGGAAAAGACGCGAATGAGAATGCGCCGACCCGCCCAGTCCTACCTGGCATCACATGCTAACAGGCGTACCAGAAGTCAATTACCTGTCTACCTGATTCTTCTGTACTTAAGAAGGGCAAAATAGACTCATACGGCACGACGGTACGTACGGGCTCTCACACGTTCGGATGCAGGGGCCTGCGGGAGCCGTCCCGGGACGACTCCGCACCCGAGCTTTAGCACACAAACACATCCATGCAGTATGTACGTTCCGTTCACCTGTAATCGGCTGGGAAAACTAGCTACTACAGCGAATTATTATATTAACTTTCCGCACGAAATGTTCATCCATTAGATACATTTCGTACGTGCGATCTATTTAAATATTCAGGGTCACTATGCTCGTCAAACAAGTATAAACTACAACCGGTCACTCGTGCCGTTTCGGATCCTTCGTCCCGGCATGATCGAGTGACCGGAGGAACTTGGAAACAAAGGACTCACTGTGACAAAAACCTTTATTGACGTTCGTGCTTCCGCCAGGTAAAAGTTGAGGTATGTCACGAACCAGCCACCAAAAATTGTGGGGTGCCAGGAACCAGCCGTCAGCCAGTCATCAAAGAAGAAGAACAAAGACGAAAACTGTAACGGATATGAATAAAGGAATGTTATGATCTCGAAGCAATATCCCGGAAGTGTCCAACAAGTAGTTAAGCAAACCCATATTTGTTAATCGGCATTAATAGCGAAAATTGACAAATACTAACATACAGACAGTACTTACACGTACGGGAAGTAATAAATGCGTCGTAATTAAGCGGCTAAGCTGGCAACAATTACGTGCGTATAAGGTTTTGAAGATTGAAGTTAATCCGAAATACGTACAAACATGACGCAGGATGCTATCACACACACGTACACGAGAGAAAAAAGTAAACGGCTGACGCCGATCCAGCAAAGTGGGGGCATGAGTGAGGGTCACATGACTGCGATCACTGCTTCGTTTTCTCTCTGCTAACGTATTACCAACTGAAAGATCACACTCCATTTCTTCCTAAAAAATGAAATAGCAAGCTTATTTCAGTTGCAATGTGGTTTAGAAAGATTTTACGACGCAACGCTTTTTTATTAGCATTTAAATTCCAATAAATTTATGTTAAAAGAACCATGATGTGAAAGTCAAGTTGTACAGCCTGTCTACTTCGTTTTGAGGTACGAGAGGTACGAGATAGTGAGAGAGAGGGAGAGAGAGCGGTGACAGCTGTCACGTATCAAGGAATATGATTGAAACAGATATCTTCTTAATATAAACAATTCGCTCTATGCCCCTGGTGACCAATTAAAAAGTTGACGAACCGTGCGTAGCTTATTAAGGGTTAATTACGTTTGCACAGTATATATAAATAAACGTTGTAAAGGATGACAATGGGCGATGAAACTCCAGTTACATCACTGGTCCTTCCTGTCATTTTAAGACCGATATTAACGAAGGTATTAATAATTTCTGCTGTTTATAAGTAGTACACGTCATATAGAATCGTGCTTTGCATAAAAATATGCACGTCTTAAACAATTGTCGAATTGATGTTTCCTGTTCGTTGATTTTTTATTGTGAACGAAGTTGGAGAGGCAAAATGTGTTGGCTGCTCAAACGTTGCGTACAGCTTTGTTGAAAGCTGAAAACTCTCATCCAGGGATTACGCATGACTTCATACTCGGTATAATACGACGGGCTGAACTTAATCTTGACATGAACGAAAGCGTACTCAGATTGCAAGGAGCAGCTTCTGATTACGATGGTAAAACCACGACCGATCATAGGAAAATATGGATAATCCATCATTAAAGTAAACCTAGATTAATACAGATTTCTTTTTATGTTTGCTAGTCGTAGAATACAGGTCATCACGGTCCGAGGATGCTTTCCAAGAATTAAATCGCAAATCGACCTCCTTAAAAAGAATACTTAGTAGGATCCCTGATGAAATAACAGATCGTAAAACTTTCCTTGAAACAATCAAGTATGTTCTTTAACTAATACCTCAAACGATTGTCGTTTGCTCTATGTAACGTGCTCTCGTTTCAGAGAAATTGCGAGCGCGATAAAAAAGCTTTTGGACGCGGTGAATGAAGTTACCGCATTCATTCGTGGATCTGCTGGAAAACAGGCATTGGACCAAAGGAAAAGAGAGTTCGTGAAATACAGTAAGAGATTTAGCAATACATTGAAAGAGTATTTCAAAGAAGGGCAGTAAGTATTACATGTGCATCTTTTCTCCATCTGTTAAAAAGATCTTTGTGAAATTTGTAATTAAAATTACAGGGCAAATGCAGTATTTGTCAGTGCGTTATATTTGATACATCAGACAAATATGATAATGCTCACGGTGAAGGATAAATGTGAGTAATGATACGTTCGATTGAAAGATACCTCCGCAGTAATAAAATGATCCACGATTGCGAAATTTACATGATACTCTAATTTTATCCATTTTGTTGTACTTGATAATAGAATATAAATTATATACATACATATATATATATATATATATATAATGTGCGTAGCATCATGATTTCGTATATATTAGATTGTTATCAAATTATTGTGCATATATACGTACACACATGATTTTCGAAAAGAAATGCGTGCACACGAACGTTACTTCTGATGCATCATGCCATTGTTTTCTACGGAAAGACATTTCTCGAGATGTATAAGAAATAAAAATTACTTTATTGATAACAAATGTACAGAAATTTTTGTCTCATATTCCCCATGTGAAATCTACATCCACTATCTACATCCTCATTGTATTAACAATGACAATGGGTAACAGTAAGGGTTAATGGTAAGAATTTTAATGAACATCGTTGGGAAATGGTAAAATTTTTCAAGCACGTTTGCTGTCCGCGAACGCTCGTACAATACTGCCGAAACCGCTGATGTTGTATACCTTTTCGTGCCAAGTCAACAAATGACTACTACTACCTTCGGCCGGAACTTCGAATCCCCGATAGATGTATTTCATCAGAACGTCTAACAAATCCCGATCCATCTGCGCCAAGCAATCGTCCATCTGAGTAGATTTTATGCTCAGAAGTACCTTTAACGTTAAATTCCGAGCGTTGTCCTGTAAAATCGTAAATACCTGTCTCAAGTAAATTGTGAGAGGAACTTTGATGGTAGGAACCACGTATCCGCAGAGAATAACGAATCTTATTCAGACACGTGCAGTATCATCAGATATTCTCGATTATCTTCTATTACACATTGGCGAAATATCACGGGAAACCTCTCGAATTCGTGCAGACTTATCGCGAGGAGTCTAGAACGATGAACCACGGATACGGAGGTCCAAGTATACGTTAGATCGTGAGAAAATAATCGTGAGAAAAGGGCGTGTTATTTGGGTTACCTTTACTTGTTGATTTTTACACCCCAGAGGTGCGGACCTCAATACCGATATTAAGGCTTCGGCGTTCTTACCCTTGAATAAACGTTAAGGAAAATATGATGAAGTATAAGCGAAAAGATTATTACAATACGATTTAATGTCTCTAAATGTCATGGGAAGGATATTGGTTAAGGAGTGTCAAAATCTCATTTTCATCTGGACCCGTGGGTCCTCCTATCCCTCCGTCAGCGTCTTCTTCTCTGAAGTTATTATCACTGTACTGATCGACATCGATTTTTCGGAACGCAGATGCTAACGCAGATGCTAACACATCTTTCTTCCCATCGGTTTTTGACATTTTCACCCGGTGTTTGACGTTTTACGTTTTACCGTGAATCACGCCCGGCTTATCGTGTAACTCTCCTAACTCTTCCAAAGCTACAGAACGAATTTTCATTGGCCTTCGTGTCACACTGTGTCTTTCTCTATCAAGAATATAGAATACGAGAAAGATTTCTTATAGTCTTCTAAATATTCCATATCTAGAAATAGTAGCGTAAAGGTTTCAACGAAAAATGATAATGTAATTTATTATATCATTATGTTCGTGTATTCATATGAATTTGGCTTTAAAGTTATGCACGCAATACGCGCATGCGCGAGAAAACCCGGCCCGTATCCCAACTCCCAACACTGAGGGCTATCTGAGCACTCTCATTTTCTCTCTGGCTACAGTAAGAAACGGAGCGTAACGTCTGGTAACGGAGCGTCATTGTTGTGATACATATTGTAAAGTTTATTTATTCATTATTCAATGGAGACGGTTCCTAAAGATTTACGCGGGCTGAGAGCCTGTTTGGTATGCTCTCTGATCAAGGTACATCTCATTCTCGTTTGTATTCACTTAACTTGTCTTCTTTTCTTCTTTGTTCAGACGTTTTCTTTGTTCCTTTCTTTTACACTTGTTTTCTTTGTTCAGACGTTTGATCAGTTCGAGTTTGATGGCTGCGATAATTGCGATGAATTTCTGCGAATGAAGAACAATAAAGACAACGTTTTCGATTGCACGAGTTCCAATTTCGATGGGTAAGATAGACAAATGAAGATGAAATCACTTTCCTTCGATCATGCATGATTCTAAATTCATTATTGTTTCTTCAGCATGATAGCTGCGATGAGCCCCGAAGATAGTTGGGTCTGCAAGTGGCAAAGGATAAGTAAGTAACAACAGTCTATACGTAGTTAAGATTAAGCAAGAGAAATATCCTTATTTTATTCTTGTATATCTTTACAAAATTATAACTGTCACATTGTTTTACAGTAAATCATAATATAGACTATTACCCATTATTCTACTTCATTTTGACATTTTGAATTTCGATAATGTACCTTTAGACTTCCGTTAAATTAATCTTCTTTCTTCCTTTTGGCAGTGTAAACAACAATTACCCAAATCATGTTTTTTTATCACGCGTGTAAATGTATTGAAAGGCAGCACTTTGTACAAGTTTCTATAGCTGAGATTTCAATACAAAAGATGCAACCAATATAAAATAATGAGATTCATGTACACGTGCACACAGTTCTGTGTACACGTGTACATTTACAGTTTAATCGTTTCTTGTATCTGAGATTCTTACAAGGAGAGACCGCGGTCGACAGGTGAGGGATTTTGATGAAACTTGCAGCACTCAAAGATGTCATATCTGAGTTTGATTTCTTGAGAAAATCTTGAATATTCCACTTTACTGCTTTACCAAATTAAACTCCGATATGACATCTTTGAGTGCTGCAAGTTTCATCAAAATCTCTAACCCGTCGACCGCAGTCTCCCCTTGTTAGTATTAATTATTATACATTTATACAGAATTTCTTCTAATATGCACGACCGTACGTATAGTTATTAAGGAACATGCTTGTGCGCGTACGTAAGATTAAATTCCAACATATTTTTAATTGCGTGTATGTACTTTGCATTAATCTTTATACGCTACTTTTGCTGTCTCACGATCTCGTCCGTGTAAACAGAAAGCGATGCGCCGAACAAAAAGCCTCGCTAATATACGTATATATGTATATAATATAATATATCTGATGCGATAACTAGGATTTCAATTTTTTTTTTCAGATAGATTTTGTAAAGGCGTCTACGCGATATCTGTATCAGGACGTTTGCCAGCTGGTGTCATAAGAGAGATGAAAAGCAGAGGAATAGTGTATAGACCGCGCGACACGAGTCAACGATAATTTTAGAACTTATAAGATTACTAGCGTACCTGTACTGTAACATCGTTCAACAAATCGATCTGGCGATTATATCAAGATTTCTATGAGATCGTCACGAAAATATTATACTCGATTTGATTGATATGAACTTTCGTCCTGGCTTCAAGGATCCGAAGTCCCTTTGATTAAGACGTTTAAGATTTCTATAAACATTTGCTCATGATTCATTACTTTCACCCTAATTTATTAAGATTGTATCACATCAGCAGTTTCCTCTAGTGTTCTTCGTCTCTGTACAGATCGTTATTTTTTCTTAAACGGACTAGCTGATAAGATTTTGAAAATGTTCGACTTTAAAGAGTATGTACAACTTCTATGAAATACATTTTCGCTTGCTGCTCGTCTCGTGATAAATACTAAAAATGTTTGATTCTTTAATCGTTATAGTTAAATGCATAGTTCGTCTTCTGATTCCCTACGAACCTTCATTAACAATGTTAACGATAAAAAATTGACGAACGCGACTCGGGTTTTCACGCAGATCAACGTCAAATATGATTGTTACCTGGACATGCGTTCGAGTGCGAACAGAAAGACGGATGACGCATCACGGGCAAATGACTGTTTACGCAATTAAGCCATAGGTTCGCACAAGTAACGTGATAATTGTTCTCATTATATACTATCCTGCCGCTAGTAATTACCGTTAAACAAAGTGAACAACAAGTCGCTTCCCCTTGATGCAAAGGCCAAGCTGGAAGCTCCGTAACTATCTGAAATGTACAACACTGTCTTGTATATCTGTTTAATAAAGTTCGTAATCTTTTAAAACTGTTCGTTACCGGTATGTTCGCATAAAACGGTTCCATTTCTGCCCAAATCCGGTCGATGTCCATCAACAGTTCGTCGAAACCAATTATATTTATATCCATCTCTTTGTACGAAAAATTAACGCGTCTACAAACAGCTGCGACTTCGGCTAAATCTGACAAAAGTCCATTAACGCTGTTATACGGTCTAACGAAAATAAATGATATTCTCTGCGATACTTACTGCAAAGAAAATTGTATCCCTGTGCTGAATTTAAGACTTCGTGTAGTGCAAGCTCCGAACTGATGTTCGTAAATATATTTGCAGCTACTTGCAATAATAATACGCAACTCTCCATGTATTGCTTCCACTCCCAATATTCAGACTGCAGAATCAATAGCAGACGAAATCGTTTTTATTCATACATCTTACTGTTAGTGTCAATATCGAATAGGAAAGAAAAATGTAGTGACCTGGGGAGCAGTGTCTACTGTCTGTTCATCTTCCATGTTCGATGGTAAGAAAGACTTAAGATCTAAACTAGGCACAGATCCTGATCGAGTTAACGCATTCGACGCACCATTCGCGAATTCTATACTATTAATTGATATGGCATCTTCCTTTTGAATAGCTTTCCCTTAAAGCGAACATTACCATTAGCACGTCGTTCAAACGAGTCAGAATCGGAAGTGAAGCGAATAACGTGGCAGATATGTTAATTACCTATTTCTAAGGGGCGTTCTCCTACGTTATTCTCAAGCTTAAGATTATCAAATGATTCAGAGATGTCTGACATCAGATTGAAATCTGCTGTACTCGCGTTATTATTGTTAGTGGGTTTAAACTCAAAATCTGTAAAAATATCGGCAAGGCCATCAGTGTCTAAAGCGTTCGTGGCAGGAGCATTAGTAGCAGGCTGTTCCGCAGACACGAATTCTCCAAATTCATCAGCCGATTGACTGGTGTAACTTGCGTTTGTATCTGGTTCAGTAGACCCAGTCGCTTCTTGAACCAATGCACGCAAGGCACTATATTTATCTTCGACGAGCTGGAGATTCATTAGATCCTGGTGGCTAATTGCTGATGTCGTTGCCGGTGCCTAATCGGGGAATCAACAATAAATCGAATTTCGTCCAACGAAAGTAATAACTTTTAGAAATCGTATTACCATGTCCATCCATTCTAACTTGTTCGAGGCATCTTTGTCGTTAGGTAAATCTACAATTTCCGTATCTGTATAATTCTTTACATTTTCGCCCTGGTCCTTGGGTGGATCGTCATTCCTTATCACCGTGTCCTTAAGGATTACCGTCTTAGACTGATTCTTCAATGTACACTTAGGAAACAGCTGATCCGTCAAACAGTCGAGCGTCGGTTGATCTCTGCTCTGAGACATCGCGGTCATAGACACCTGTGTCGCGATTGCCTGGGTAGTGCCATGATTGGATTTAGCATTTATATTGTTCTTTTTCGCCTTTTCCGTCGGTTTCTTAATCCCTAAGTTGTGATTCGCGAGTCTGCTTCCAATGGCCGAGCCTTGTTTCGTGTCCCAAATCGGAACACTCGGGACATTAGTAACCGGAGCACTTTGAAACTCGGAAAAATCGTCGCATGGGTCTGCTTGTTTAGATATTTGTTTCGCATCTTTTGCTACGTTATTGGAATCCCATATTGAAGCAGGAGAAACGCAAGACTTATTATCGAAACATGAAACTTTCCCAGGTACATTGTTTATCATTTGTGCATGTAAATCCGAGGATATAACTCCTTGTTGATGCAGTTTCGTCTTTCCCTTCGTTTCCGAGGGATTTCTTCCGTCCGAATCGATAAACCCGATCTCATCGCTGTCCTGAACATTTTGAAATTTGGCCGTCGAATTCGACTGGGTAACCGGTTGCAGATTCATCAAACATTCGATGTTCAAGTACGGAGTAGGTGGGAACGGAAGCAGATGTAATATGTCTAGACTGTTGAACGTGTAAGAAGCTTGTGCAGCTGCGACGAGAGCTAGGACGATGTACAATTCCTGTTCGGTCAACTGGCCAGCGTATTTTTGATTCGCCAAGTTCCATATATGCCCGAGGACTTCGGTGGGTAGCTGACTAGTGAGCAACAAAGGGAAAACCTTGTTGGTGTCGACTAACAGTTCGGTCTGCATTCCGTTTGTTCTGACCTTATCCTCCCTGACTGCCTCCCATACCATCTTATAGATCGGCGGTAAAGTGGTGGAATTAGTCCACAGCCAAGTTGGCAATTGATTCAGTCTTCTGTCCATGTGAGTCTTATTCATTATTGATCAACGATTATTCTCGACCTGAGCCTTTCGCTATGACGAGTTTAAATTACGTGAACTCGTCGAGTAGAATGATTTCATCCTTCAACTTATTTCCCTGGTACATACATCAATCGTGAGCATAAACATTTCACTGGTTTGCGCGATTCATCTTCAACGTTCGCATATGTCAGTTGCGTCAAATTTACCATTGATCGTTTCCATCGCGGAAACTGTACGAACGGTATACCGCGGGACTGCGACTTAATTAATCGTCTGTTGCAATCGGAATTATTAATACGGGAGAAAAGTCGAGACACCTACGCGATACATGCGTACACAACTTGACAATTCAGGTGTCACCGCATGATCGCTCGATCACCTCGATCACTGAACGACTGAACGACTCATCCAGTCATTACAACATTACAACTATTATCCTACGCAAGTTACATTACAAAGACGATCACGACCAATGAAACGTACAGTTTGTTCAAACTTCGGGTCCACCGCGAACGCAGTATCAAGAGATCTTTGATATGATTTTATCCTCTGACTTGCAGCATATTATGTAAATGCGGAAGTTCTTCGCATAAAAATATGATTTATTCAGTAATTGATTAGTCAATGTATATTTCTTCTATAGCAAATTTCATATTCTTTAATAATATTGGCGAGTACACAAGGCTGGTATCTTTGATTCTCGATCACAGCGTCGTGCGTAGAGGAACATTGAATCGCAATGATTGAAACCATCTACGTCTGCTTACTTTGCTTCATGGCAGAATAGCGACGTGCAACGGTACAACACATACACTTTTACCCTACTTTTGGCTTCTTTGGCTTCGTCCTGCGTTAGAAGACAGATTTTTCAACGAAGAAAAGTCTGTTAATTTCGAGGGTGCGCGATGGATTCCATTCCGAGAACGCACGAAGGTCCGTATACCACGATTGAAATCGTTCAACTGCTCGCTACTGTATCTATGCATCGCTTTCAAACAGCATATTCGTGTGCTATGTAATTATTCATTCAGCTGCTCGTTCGCGACACGCGTCGTCGATCTTTAATTACTCTTTCATTCAATTCGGCTCCTAACATTTTATTTCTCATAAATTTGTAGATGTATCGTTAATCATTAGTTGTACATCGTTCTCTTCCGAAGTGATTCCCTTCGTTCGTGTAATCATACTTAACGTTTATTTCCTTAGACATCGAAGCACAAATAAGAGAAATACAGTCAAAGAAAAAAGAGATTCAAAATGCAACTGCGGAGAAGGACCAAGTAGGACTAGGAAAAACTGGTTTTTACGATCAAGACATTTACGATGGAAGTAATAATAAATATGAAGGCTACGTTACATCTATTGCGGCCAATGATGAAATTGAAGTACGATCTAGATTGACCTTCTTATTTGTAATTCGAACATAACAATCTGATGCTGATTATGTGATTTTGATTCAGGAAGAAGATTATGAACCGACAACTTTCAGTACCAGTAAGAGACCTGGATACACTGCACCAGCAGCGTTACTCAATGACGTCGCACAGGTAGAACGTTTCTCCGATAATATCGATCTTATTAATTAGACTTTGAGTTTGTATGTAATTTCACTTGTATCTTTCAGAGTGAAAAAGATTACGATCCATTCGCGGACAGAAGAAGACCCACCATAGCTGACAGGGAGGATGAATATAGACAAAAAAGGAGACGAATGATTATCTCACCAGAACGTGTTGATCCTTTCGCAGAAGGTTGGTATCTAATTTCCATTGTATTAAAACTGTTTCGAAAGAAAGCAGGTAACTAGACATTAAGTGTGTTTATACGTTACGTTCCTTATTAATATTTTCAAGCAATACAATACGAGTGAGGAAACTTTTTATCAGCCTTCACGTATTTTTAATTCGAAGTAATTCGCCGTGTCACCAATTGTATTGCAACGAAATACGCACACGATAAAGTTTCTATCACTACGATTCATGAAAGGATCGAATCATTTAAGATACTTCGTCATATAAGAGTCAACTTGATTTTTGCGTATAAAAAATCCACTGCTTCCTTTTCAACGAGACCGACCGAGAATTAGAATAATAAGTCAAGTTGACTTCCTTCACATCGATTCATAATATCATACGTCTGAAAGTATTCCACAGTTTTCACAATCGAATTATAACGGTCGAAGTCCACCTTCTGTATGATTTTTTATACATTGCAAAATGGTTTATTTGAAGGATCAGTGCTAGGATTTTATTTGGAACTATTTCCAATTCATGATTCAGTTCGTTCATTCTGCATTTTACACGAGACTTAAATTAATCGAACATGTCATGAAACAAAAATGTTCGATCTTGTACCGCTTAGATAAATCTGTACATATACATATCCGAGAGTATCAAGCAGAACAATACTACAGCAAACTGTGCCATGTTTAATATTAAGTAATTTTAATGCAAACATTTTTCGTAGTTAACATTTAATGGATATTTATTAAGCGACGTTTTTATATTGCTGTAGTATTAACGGCTATGGTAACCAAGACGGAGATCGTTCGAACAGACCGGAATGTAAATTGCGTCTCGATCGTTTAACTATCGTGTCGCGTGTATTTGACGAAATTCGTGTTCGACGATGGTCTCGGTTATCGATAGTTGAAATAGGCTCAAGATCTCTTCGTGCATAGATTGTGGAAGAAATAAATAATGCTGGCTTGAATGGAGAGAGTGAATGCGATTCTTTCAAATAAATACTAATGTATAAATTTTTTTCCAATCTTAGTGACGGTCTGCACGTTTGGAATCATCTGCTTACCGAGGATACTATGTCGAAGGTTAAGCGAGATTGAATTGACACAGAAACATTACAGTCGCGTCGTGTACACGATACAATGAGACTTTCCCAGCTGTAATCAGTATCATGCTTCGCAAACCTTTTTTCTTTATTCTTTCATGATTACGGCCACGTGAAATCTCATCGTATCGCGCTCCCTTCCGTGAGAACATAAATTATTGAAAAACTAGTATGAGTGGTTGGCGTGCAAATATTATTAATAACGAGAATGAGTTGATTTTTAGATGGCTAAAGTATTTTTCGATGTGGAAGAGATGAGCAGGACAATGCTCCCTGTGGCACCAAACATTCACGTACGTATGCTATATGCCATCTGCTGTTGCAGCTCTCTCAAACCCGTTGTACTATTAACGCGACGGCTTAATCACGCATTTATTCTTCTATTCCGCTCGGGGAAACGTTTTGATCGTATGTCATTTAATTTCAATGGTAAATGCAACGTGGAAACGAGAGCGAATTCAGTAGTTTGCTTAGAATATCGGAAACTATTCTAAGGGCATTTTAACAATAAATATTATTAAATGGCTAGGTATGTCAGAAGTTCTCGAAAGTTTAAGCGTTCATTGAACAAATGTCTAATGGTTGCGCTTTGCGTGACGTTTGGTTCCTGATTACAGGTGGTAAGACGCCGGACATCGGTTCTAGGACGTACACCGAGATTATGCGAGAACAGTTACTCAAAGGGGAAGAATCTGAGGTACGCAATAATTTCGGTTACATTTCGATATGTTCCTATTTCCGCGTAGATATCGTTTACACGTTTTATCGTTGCAGTTAAGAAAGAAATTAGCGGAGAAAGCTAAGGAGGGAACGTTGAAAGCGAACGGTGAACCCAAACCTGCACCTAAGAAAAGAGGTCGTTGGGATCAAACGGACGATGCTCCAACGCCTAAGAAACCGACTACCACCACAGCTACATCTTGGGACAATGCCGACGTGAGTGGGATAAATACGGAAGTATTTGTACGAACGAGGCAGGCAATACTTGAAAATATTACAGGTAACACCGGCAGCTATCAGATGGGACGAGACGCCTGGACATGGTAAAGGTGGAGAGACTCCTGGCGCAACGCCAGGCGTGAGCACGCGAGTGTGGGACGCCACTCCAGGACACGCCACGCCTGGCGCAGCCACGCCGGGCAGAGAAACTCCGTCTCATGAGAAAGCTGTTTCGAGCCGTAGAAATCGTTGGGACGAAACCCCGAAGACCGAGCGTGGTAAGTGTCGACGTTCCGCACCGCGCCGATCTGTCACAACTGATTGCACGCAATCGATCGACGATAATTTTTCTTGAATTGTAGAAACTCCGGGTCATAGCAGTGGTTGGGCAGAAACACCGCGGACAGATCGGGTCGTGGGAGATTTGATTCAAGAGACGCCAACACCTTCCGCGAGTAAGCGTCGCAGCCGATGGGACGAGACGCCTTCCAACCAGACGCCTGGATCGATGACGCCGCAAACTCCAGCGACTCCACTCGCGACGCCGCATCAGGCTTCGATTCTGACTCCTAGTGGAGTAACGCCGACGGGGCCGAAAGCTATGGGCTTAGCTACACCTACGCCGGGACATTTGATGTCGATGACCCCGGAACAGCTCCAGGCTTATCGCTGGGAACGTGAAATCGACGAGAGGAACAGGCCTCTCTCGGACGACGAATTGGACGCTCTGTTCCCGCCTGGATACAAAGTTTTGCAACCACCCGCAGGTAGACGTTATAAACGGCAACCGTCGTGCACAGAATTCTATGTCGGTGAATAAACGAGTTCGTTTGATCCAGGATATATACCGATTCGTACGCCCGCGAGAAAGCTCACCGCGACTCCGACACCGATCGCCGGTACGCCGCAAGGATTTTTCATTCAAACCGAGGATAAGACCGCGAAGTTCGTGGACAATCAGCCGAAAGGTAATCTGCCTTTCATGAAACCGGAGGACGCGCAATATTTCGACAAACTGTTGGTCGACGTTGACGAGGAGACGCTCAGCCCCGAGGAGCAGAAGGAGAGGAAGATCATGAAATTACTGTTGAAAATTAAGAACGGCACGCCGCCAATGAGGAAAGCCGCTTTGAGACAGATCACGGATAAAGCGAGAGAGTTCGGCGCTGGTCCGTTGTTCAATCAAATACTACCCCTGCTCATGTCTCCTACTCTGGAAGATCAAGAGCGTCATCTTCTTGTAAAAGTGATCGATCGTATTCTTTACAAACTCGACGATTTGGTCAGGCCTTACGTCCACAAGGTAAGGTTTACTTCGAAATTTTTATCATCGCGGGTATAAAAGTGTGATTCGTCTTCAGATTTTGGTCGTCATCGAACCTTTGTTGATCGACGAGGACTACTACGCTCGTGTAGAGGGCAGAGAAATCATCTCGAACTTAGCGAAAGCCGCGGGTCTCGCGACGATGATCTCCACGATGAGGCCAGATATCGACAACATAGACGAGTACGTGCGAAATACAACGGCCAGAGCGTTCGCCGTGGTCGCATCGGCATTGGGAATTCCCTCGCTGCTTCCATTTCTGAAAGCTGTGTGCCGTAGCAAGAAATCATGGCAGGCCCGTCACACGGGCATCAAAATTGTCCAGCAAATCGCTATTCTCATGGGATGCGCTATATTGCCGCATTTGAAGAGTTTAGTCGAAATCATAGAACACGGTAACTGAAATTGATCGTATGTACCGCGAACGGTCGTGTCTGAGAAGGTGAACGAATAAACTGATTGATTCGCAGGTTTGGTCGACGAGCAACAAAAAGTTCGTACTATTACCGCTTTAGCGATCGCTGCGTTAGCCGAAGCAGCCACTCCGTACGGTATCGAAAGCTTCGACTCTGTCTTAAAACCTCTTTGGAAGGGTATTCGTACACACAGAGGGAAAGGTCTCGCCGCGTTCTTAAAAGCCATTGGTTATTTAATTCCCCTTATGGACGCTGAATACGCTAATTATTATACTCGCGAAGTAATGTTAATTCTTATTCGTGAATTCCAGTCGCCGGATGAGGAGATGAAGAAGATTGTTTTAAAAGTGAGTATTGTCGAGATTCGTCATTTTTTTATGATCGATTATACGAGTCCACGTGAATCATTGATTGAATAGGTAGTGAAACAATGTTGCGGAACGGACGGTGTAGAAGCGCAATATATCAAGGATGAAATTCTGCCGCACTTCTTCAAACATTTCTGGAACCACCGAATGGCTTTGGATCGTAGAAATTATAGACAGGTACGTGGAACGACGTGCGTTGCTCTCGATTACGGATTGTCTTTAGACGTCCCTCACGGAAGTCTTGACTTCTGCAGCTTGTGGACACGACGGTGGAGATCGCGAATAAAGTCGGCGCGTCAGAAATCATAAACCGAGTGGTGGACGATCTGAAGGATGAGAACGAGCAGTACAGAAAGATGGTCATGGAGACGATTGAAAAGATCATGGGTAATTTGGGAGCCGCGGACGTCGATTCTCGCCTGGAGGAGCAGCTCATCGATGGTATCCTATACGCTTTCCAGGAACAGACAACAGAGGTTTGTGACGTTCGCCTGAATCAAGATCGCGAATTCCTACCAGTGAATCAACGATTAATTAACCAAATTACGTTTATCGCATAGGACGTCGTGATGTTAAATGGTTTCGGTACCATCGTCAACACGTTAGGCAAGAGAGTGAAAGCGTATCTTCCGCAAATATGCGGTACGATACTGTGGAGATTGAATAACAAATCTGCTAAGGTGAGGCAGCAAGCTGCCGATTTGATATCACGAATCGCCGTCGTCATGAAGACTTGTCAGGAGGTAAAAGGGTTTGCATTTACGTCTGAATCATAAACGAATTTTATTTACGTAAACTGGTCGCGCGTCTACAGGAGAAATTGATGGGTCATTTGGGCGTCGTTCTTTATGAATATCTGGGCGAAGAATACCCTGAAGTGTTAGGTAGCATTTTGGGCGCGCTGAAAGCTATCGTCAACGTGATAGGAATGACAAAAATGACACCGCCTATCAAGGATCTGCTACCGCGACTCACTCCCATTCTAAAGAACAGACATGAGAAGGTGAGTGCGATTTACCAGGATCTCGATCCATGAGCAATACACTGAAATTTCGTTCGTTTAGGTACAAGAAAATTGTATAGATCTCGTTGGGAGGATCGCGGACAGAGGACCCGAGTACGTGTCCGCTAGGGAATGGATGAGGATCTGTTTCGAACTGTTGGAACTGTTGAAAGCTCATAAGAAGGCGATCAGAAGAGCCACGGTGAACACGTTCGGTTACATTGCGAAGGCGATAGGGTAATTACGAACCGAAACAGATATTCAAGGAGTTAACGATGATTAAAATCATTCATCTGTTCTGTGTTTAGGCCTCACGACGTGTTGGCGACTCTTCTGAACAATTTGAAAGTGCAAGAGCGTCAGAATCGTGTATGCACCACGGTAGCTATAGCCATCGTGGCCGAAACTTGCAGTCCGTTCACGGTACTGCCCGCATTGATGAACGAGTACAGGGTGCCGGAGTTGAACGTGCAGAACGGTGTATTGAAGTCCCTCTCTTTCTTATTCGAGTACATCGGTGAGATGGGAAAGGATTACATTTACGCTGTTAGTCCGCTGTTAGAAGACGCGCTCATGGACAGGTGAGAAGACGTATGAAAAGGTTTCTTTCTGCAGGGATTCGATGTTAATATTGTGGACGTTGTCGCAGGGATTTGGTGCACAGGCAAACCGCGTGCGCCGCTATAAAGCACATGGCGTTGGGTGTCTACGGTTTCGGATGCGAGGACGCGTTGATACATTTATTGAATCACGTTTGGCCCAACGTTTTTGAGACATCGCCGCATTTGGTACAAGCGTTTATGGACGCCGTAGATGGTTTGCGCGTCGCTCTCGGACCAATCAAAATACTGCAATACACTTTACAGGTACATGGTTTAAAAAATTGTGAGGTAAAAGTTCGTTTGAAAATTAAACGGTTTCGAATCGCAGGGATTGTTCCATCCGGCACGGAAGGTACGGGACGTATATTGGAAGATCTACAATTCCCTTTACATAGGCGGGCAGGATGCTCTCGTAGCCGGCTACCCTCGAATCATGAACGATCCAAAGAATCAATACATTAGATACGAACTGGACTACGTTTTGTAATGATTTTAAGTAGGTATACATAAAAGATGTGTACTATACGTTTACGTAATCTTCATAACAATTAGCACCGATCGCTTATTATCGTTCGTGGATCAGCTGAAATAGTTGTACGTTGCGTGATGCGTAAACAGTTGATAGTGAATGTTGATTCTATTTATTTGTCAGAATCCTTCGAACGAATTATACGTGAGTCCCCCAAAATTAAAACTTTTTATTCTAATTCCGGACTTAAAACGCAATATGTGTCCTTATACAAATAAAGTGTTTCATATTCAGGACGTTGTCAGATTTGTTCCTTTAAAAAGTGTACCATTTAAATCCATTTTCAAACACTCTTTATTCATAAAATTTGATTCACTAAACAACTGAATAACGACTAGTGGCAATGTATGTTTAAATATTTATTTATCAAGACAGTTTAATATATCGTAGCGTATATCGTGTAAAACGTCCATGTAACGAGTCGTCTCGTGGACACTGTAACTTTTCAAGTATCATTGGAGGATACGGTCGTGTTCTTCCTTCAGCGTAATAATTCCTTTATTTTTACTAAACACATATCGTAATAGGTTTTGTATAAAAATTGCAAGTGAAACGTCTGTATCTCCAAGTAGACTTATTTCTTTTTCTGCTGTTTAGATCGGCGTAAAGCACGTGTCCATGAACATATACACGCGTGTACACGCGACATATTTTTCGGCTATTTATGAATTCAATGCAATTCCATTAGTTTCGGTCCAGACAGAGAAGCGTGTGGCGGGTGCGGGTGTGTGTACATACTTTCATGATTGAAAATTAGAACGAGCCGAGCCCTTTACATCGTTCAACGCATTTGAAGTGTACAGAAGAGCCTTTTTAACTAACAGCACTCTTGATAACGTACAAGATAGATATCGTTAATAAATACGTGACAGAACAATTATATAAACTATAAAACAAACATCTCTTACAACAGTTTACTGAGAGAAAACAAATAAAACATGTTTAAAAAAAAATGTATGCCGTTTATACAATTATAACAAAAATACATACATCGCTATAACTTGTAGAGCGTTAAGGATATTTAAAATGTGATTACAACAAATGATTTGCTACGAGCTTAAATGAATTCGTTCCAATAGATTTCGAACAATTGCTTTGCTCAGAACGATGCGTACCTTCAAGTAAAGTCTATATACACAGAAAAGAGCAACCGAACGAACGCGTCATTAAATCTATATTGTACCTCGTAATAATATCTTTTTACACAATTCATCTGTTAAACAAAACTTTGGTATAAGAAGTACGTAGTATCGTCGTTACAGTTCGATTCGATAGAACTTGCGGTTACGATAAAAACGCGAACAGCAGCTGATCGTAGAATCACATTGACACGTCGCGTACGTACGCTTCATGAAAATTATTTTCGAGCTAAGTACTTATATTATGATAACGCCCATGAATCTTCAGGAGCAAATCCCTCATCAGTTTCTTTTCTTGTCTAAATCAATCATTTTTCGCTTGTTCGTGTATTTTACACCGTCGGACGAGGTGTATTTGAAAACGTTAAAAGCAAGATTCGCTCATCCCAATTCGACGACATGTAAAAAGGATGATTTTAATTCCAGCATAGCACCAGACACACTTTCGAGAGCAGACTGTGACGAAGCTCTTCTATAAAACTAATGACTCTTACGTGTGATTTTGTAAGATACGATTTGACGATTCCCAAAATATCTCACGTCCGATCTTTCTTTCTTTCTTCTTTTTTCAAGAACAACGATCGAAGGGATAATATCGTTAAACGTTAAGTATTACCGGCAAGAATGGATGAGTAACGATATTACGAGAATTTACAGGGCAGAACAGAATCGGATAAACGTTACAAGCACGCGTTGACTCGAACATGCAATTCATCGATGAGAATTAAATACTCACGCTTTCATTCTCGTAGACTAAAGACGTTCCGTTTCACGCATACTACATAGAAATATGTTCTCCGTTCACTTCTCGATGTAATGTGATAAAATTTACAATAGAGTATCATATTTTTCATTCTCCGTAACTTTGGTAAACGACTCATAGAACGCGAAGGCTTTCAGTCGCTTCTACGGCTAATAAAATTCGTTCATACTAAAAAACGTTTCTTTTTTGTTGTTTAAAGTGTGTGGAAGTCAGTTTCAGCTACTTTCATTTAGTAAATAGATATATATAAAATAAACGTCTTCTTGCTTGCAAATAAATCGGTATACGCAATTTAATGTCTTGGGTACAGAAAGTGTACTATCGTAATGGAACATTTTTCCTTCTTTTTCTCAAATCCTGTTGCATCTTACGCTCGTTAAAAAAAAAGCTGTCGTCGACGATACTGTTAAAATTATGATCTATAAAAAATACATTCTAAATCATACACTCTTTTGATCACGTTTCGTATCTACGACGTGACATAAGATTGTTTCCGATTCGACATTATATTTGAACAGACAGACGGTCGCGTGTCACTGTGAATTTCAAAGGTAAACGGATGTGATCGAAATAGTATACGTACAAAATATGTTCAGCGTATCCTGTGAATTTGTCTGAAAGAAAATTTCGATCAAAAGGGCGCGACAATTGCTGCTGCCTCGCCTCTACTCGTCGGCAGCGAAGCGCACTCGTGCCATTTGTTCGAATGCGGATCGTAACACTCGACCGTGGAGATAGTGATTTGCGTTCGATAAAAATTGATTTCCTGAGACTGATCACCGCCTATTACATAAAGTCGGCTGTCGGCCGCCGCGACTGCTGGGTATGATCTGCCCATGTTCATGGGCGCGACGGTGCTCCATTTGTCCTGAAATACACCACACGAGAAAAGTCGTTGAGCACGGGGACGAGGACGCAACGAATTAAAAAAAAAAATTCAGAAGAAAAGATGTGTCACCTTCTCGAATGAATATCTTTCGACGGAAGTTAAAACCTCTTGATTCTTATTCGTACCGCCCACGACGTAGAGGTATCCATCGAGAATGGTGATCCCCATCTGCGAACGAGGCGTGAGCATCGGAGCCAAGTGCGACCACTCTCTCGTCACCGGATTGTAACTCATCACATCCTGGCGATGCCTGCTGTTATGCGTGCAACCACCGACCACGTATATCAACCCTGAAAAATGCAGACGTTGTGATTCTCCGATTTATAGATCGGACGCTCTTCATCGGTGTACAAACTGAACGTACCTTCGTAAGCGACTACGCCCATGCTGAATCGTGGTTCGGGTAACTGCCCATCGAGCGTCCAAGAGTTAGTCATCGGGTCGTATATTTCTATTGATCCGCCGATGTCTTCGCCTACCCATCCGCCGAACGCGTACAAGTTGTTGTCCAAGGCACAGAGTCCAAATTCGCACCTCGGCTCTTCCATGCAGGCAATTGGAGTCCATACGTCATCGCGGGGATCGTAGCACTCGCAGTTGGCGATAATACACGACTCGAGTTCCCCGCCGACGACGTAAACCTTTCCGTCTAACAACGCAACTCCTGGTAGTATTCGCCCTATGCTTATCGGTGCCACCTCGCTCCACTGGCTGAAAAGATCATCACAACTTTGACTTGACGACAACTGCGAACCGATGTGTAAAGAAGCAAAAAGACGCACCCTGTAAATATGTCGTATTTTTCGATCGTTTCATAAGTACTCTCAGCAGCTCTCCCCCAACTGTCCGCCGAGTGTTCGCGTCTAGATCCGCCGATTACCAATACATTCTTCTTAGCGCAAAGTCTGGGTTGCGCGTGAAGAGGCACGAGGCAACCTTTGTTCGAGACTAGATCCTTCTGTATAGATCGTAACGCAACGATCAGACTCTCGTCTTTGCATTCCAAAATTACGCGTTCCAATCTCGCCAATGAACACAGCCGTAAACGTATGTGACTCAATATTTCAAACACGTAACATTTCCTTGTCAGTATCTCGTGAACGATCCAATTGTATGCCGCTTGGAAGACCTTCGGAACCACGTTAGAAGTGAAAACGCCGCGGATAATGTGTTAACTCAATAGTCTGACACAAACCTGGAATTCAGTATCGATATGAATGTAATCGCTACTGAGGAACTGAACGAGATGTTCTTTCGGCAGATCCAAAAACTCTTCCTCTTGAGAAACTTGAGGAAAATTGACTTGTATAAAGCGTAGGGCAGTCTCCAAAAGATCTAATCTGTTATGTGCTTCTGCAAATCTGTTCAAGAAGATTTATCGTTAAAAAGCTATTCGGTGCAACGGAGCCCTGACTATCCGATATTGAACCAAACGTCGAATTCGAGGCTCTGATCTCACCTATAAATCCCAAGCGCGTTAGAGTAGTGAAGTTGTTGTTTCAAATACGTAATGCAACCGAATACTACTTCGTCTAATTCTAGCATATCAGCAGCTGCAAATAATTCTTGAACATTGTCCTGGGTAATATCAACATTCCCCGTATAAATGAAATCCACCAAGAGGGAAAGAATTTTAGGCGATACTGAATGAATTTCTACTAACTCCTGCTGTTCTTCGACCAAACCACCGGTGAACATAGCATTAAAATACGCGCTCCCTGCGGCCAGGACAGATCTGTGGGCTCTGATAACGCTACCACCAGCGACCAGGCCCACATCGCTGAACTGATTCTTTAATCGTTGAGCGTTCAAGTTCTTCAAAACTTTAGGGGCATACTGCCCCACCGCGTAAACGGTGTTGGGCACATCGGAGGTTTGTTTTACTGGTTGCGTCGAGAAACCCATGTTATTGCAATTATGGCCATTCTTTATTGGTGGCACTGCACCATCCGCCATGAAACCATCAAGTTGCCCTTTATCTGCAGTTCCTGTAATAATAATCATTTCACCCTGCAGATCTCACTATGACCGTTCGCATCGATTCATAAAATTCGCAACCGAGCACTCTCTAATTTGACACGATTAGACGTGCTCCTTGCATCGACATCTACAGTTAATTTGCGATGAAAATTGACTTGATTCTAAAAATCGAAAGTCGTTAAGAATAGAACGTTAAAGAAGTGGAATCGTTGAGTGGAACTGATGGAAATGGTATGGAAAATAAACATGATTAACCGAATTTATATTATATAACAATTATGTTACTTCGTCCAAGGGAAAGGCCTGGACGGATTTAATTAAACAATTAACTAGAGAATACTTACGACATATACGCGAGAGCACCTTATAGACGCTTTGAAATGATTTTGTATTATTTTTCCCCTTTAAACGCATCACTACCACCACATTTTCACGTAAGTTTTTATTGTTTGATACCACTTTCCATTCGACTCATCCCTTTCTTGATTCCACCAATTAGCCACTAATTCAGTAATAAGAAATCTGACATATGTCAAATAACTTATTTAGTGTATGAAAGTAGCTACAAAAGGATCCTCGCTCCTAGTGGGTGTGTGCATGTGCCTGCACGTGTATACTCGTACACTCCCACAGAACGACTTACAAACATTCACAGATACGGAACGAGTTATTAATTGTCGACATTGTCATCATAAAAAACGAGATCACGACGCGTTTCGTTCATGATTGGTTCCAAACGAAAGAAAAATACGAACATCTTCTTTATTTCTGTACGCTCAAAGTAAACCTTCTGTTCACTCCGTTGTACTCGTTCGATTTTGGTAATTCAATTACGCGAGGCGCATTTGAGGAATTTCGACCGCAGCGTCGTCCGTTGAGAAACAGTAGAACTTAGGTTTCACGTACAGTGTTCGAGGAATTTCTCTCTCACTCTTCCTCAATGACCTAACGACTGGAGGGGGTGCACCATTACGAATGGAGGATATAATAAATCGTCTCGTCCTCGTTGTGGGTTTTGAATACTGTTGCTTCAAAGTGCAACAGTTTAAGTTAAGAGAAATCGATCGTTGCCTCGTGTGTACATTACCTAAGAAAATTCTTTTACACTCGTTGACGTTCAAACATGACGAACACTTCGAAAAAAAGAAGAACTCCGTCGAAATTCACGGTGTGTAACACACGACTTTATACTCGTACATATTCTCGAGGCAAGCACCGTCAACTCGTTAATCTTTCATTGTTCTACAGAGCATGGGCAATCACGAGGAATTCTTAAATCGCATATCGAAGTCGCTTTATTATTCAAAATTGCCGGTGACCGATTGCCTCAGTTTACCTGTTACTGGTTAGTATCGCCGTTTGTTGTTTTCATCGTTTGCTAATGTATCTCCGATTCGCAGTTATCTTGAATGAAAATGGTACGCGAACGATTAAGCATGCTCTGTTGTTAAAACATACTTTCAGAATTGGCAGCGGAACTGTTTACGGAAGTAAAGAGTGGCCACACTCTCGAACGATTAGACGTAGAGGAAGCTAGCAGGATTTCTAGAAATGCCTGCGTTTCGCCGTGCTCTCTGGTCCTGGCATTGCTGTACTTGGAAAGATTGAAAGATTGTAATCCGGAATATCTACAACAAGTTGCACCCTCCGAACTCTTCCTCGTTTCCTTGGTAATACGTCGAAACAAATATTTTTTTTACGAATATCATTGTTTGAAACTGTCCCACAGATGGTGGCTAGTAAATTTTTAAACGACGAAGGAGAGGTGGACGAAGTTTTAAATACAGAATGGGCACAGTCGGGTGACCTGACTATATCAGAAATAAATCAGTTAGAAAAGGACTTTCTAAAGGCTATCGTAAGTAACTTAATCGTCGGACATTATCTCGGTTGTGATTTACCATGGTGTTAACTATTTTCATAAATCGTTTAGGATTGGACCGTGTTCGTTCATAATCATGATTTTTGGGAAAGACTACAGAAGTTAGAGAAAGATATAGCGTATAAGGAGGCACGGAAAAGAGGTTGGTTCTCTTACACGGAACTGAGTTGTTTGATGAACTCGATGCAGTTGTTAGAAGTGGCACACGCCGTGGTGAACGTATCGTCGATTTGTTTGGCAACCTATACTGCAGGGGTAGTGACTCTGTTAGGCTCTGCACTGGTTGCAAGCTATTTTCCAGGAACGATACTCGGTCCGAGGCAAACGACTAACTCGACGGATGTCATTAAAACCGACTTGAATCCAGTGGATGTGACGGCGTCGCTCGTCGAAGTACTGCACGAACAGATTCTGATGACCGATCTCGTATCTCTCTCCTTGAATTGCAACAAGTCCGAACAGGGTTGTGAGAATATCGGAATGAACGATGTTAGTGATGCTAACTGGGAATGGTGGTTAAATTCCATGATGACCTGGCTACCGGAACATTCGGATTCAGCGTCGATCGAAGAGAAGACGTTGGACACGAGAAACGTTAACACCGAACGCGTGGACACACCAACGATCAAATATTTACTCGACGGCACCACCGCGTCAGATGAATCTTTTATGAGTACGGATTGGAAACGAATATTAAGTGTAGATTTAAAGATTCTTCTGCACGACTGGAGATATTACGCGAACTACGTTACGAAAATAACACTGGATCATCAACACTGAGACACGCGCATTGGTCAAAAAAGTTGTAAAAAAAAAGAACAGAAAAGTATATATTTTTTCTACTAATTTGTGAACTCGACGAGAACTACTGACAGAATAATTTTTTCAATAAAGAATGTGAGAGATCTACAGAGATGCTAGTTGTTTATCTTAGGATACGCGGATTCTAGGGGTAAAACGTAACGAAAAGGGTCAGAACAAAATATTACAGTCTGTTGCTACTGCTATTTATATAGATTTACAGTTACTTTATACACGTGTGTACATTAAATACATACATTCATTTACAAGGATTATACAACGTATAAACGTCGTGATTGTCATAAATCAATATTGCTAAGTTTTTGGTCGCGTGACTATTAAGTATCTTGTAAGCAGACGGTTCTCTTCTTCTATTATTACACATCCATTTATCGCGATTATCTATTGCGGTTATAGTACAACCTTTCAATACAAGCATTTAATGTCGGTCGAGTTTCAACCACCGTTGTGAAAGTAAGAAAATAGTGGAATAGGCGTCATTCCGATGATGCAGCCGATCGTCACTCCGATGACTCGTCCCTAAATCGTTTGAAATCTCTCATTTATTACGAACTTTGAAAGCGTCGTAAAAATAATTATTAAGCGTCTGTCATACCAAGTTAGCGGCTGCTTTGGTTCTACGTAGATTCAACTGGACGGGGCTAAGTTTTGGCGCTTTAAAGCCAATTTTGTGCGCGAAACGTTCGACGTAATGTACCGATCCGATCCCTATTATGTCGGATATCGTGTTCCCTAAAGCTGCGGCTACCATAGTCGATATTGGAAATCTTTTATTCAGTATTATCTCGATTTGATCGCCCTGAAATGATCACGTTACAAATACGAGCGTCGTACGTAGATTGATAAATACGTACAGCGACGATCATGATGAAGTTGTCGAGAAAACCGAAGCCGATGAACGGAATCGCGTTTGAAATCGCAACTGAAAAAATATTACCTGTTAATACGCTGCGGTGACGCTTTACGCGGTTTAACATCAGCTGGACCGTACTAGTTCTCTCTTATACACACGCACGCTCACGAACGTTTTCAATTGCATTTTCACTCGAACGCAGTATGTTATACAAAAATCATACCTAAAACTAGATCTTTCGTGGACGGTTCTGGAACAGTTTCAACTGTAACGTGAAAGAGAATAATGTAAATTGTGTATTCTTCCGTGACAAACATTCTCACCTAATCAACGAACAGCTTCGCGGTCTTTCATACAATTTACAAAACATAAATCGGTCGAAATTCATGCACCACCGGTTTTACATATGCGTCCGGGTTATAAATGAAACTTCCAATACTGTATTTACCTACATCTTTTGAGACTGTAACGAATAACAGAGAATCTCTAGGACGACTAATTAAGTAATCAAATGCACAAAAATTCGGAAAACAAAACTTTATTGAAATAAAAGAGTACATTTTTCTAAGAAGGTACTTACATCAAAGTTTATCAGACAATTCTACCGTCTAACGGAATAGAAGAGTGCAGACTACGTTACGGAAAGTGCATTTGCACATGCAAAATACGTGAAACTAAATGAAAGTTGTGATCATAGTATCTCTCAACAATCCTTGTATACAGCGAAAGACGTCTAAAGTTATTTACCTAATTGTTCGATCTAGTTTTACGAGTATCTTCATTGTGTTCATTGTTGAATTAATGGATGAAACTCATTATATAGTTCTCGTGAGAAAAGGCATACATGTTTTTGTCAAAGTGCTCAACATCTTAAATCATAAATGCAAATATAAATTACTCGATGAGATCGCGTGGATCGTGGTTCGATGTCAATTAGACAGTACGAGATGACCGTTCAAATAAATTGTCGTTACGTATGCTCGCTTAGAACGAATACAAAAGCGTAATTGAAATAATTTCAACTGTTCTTAATCTATCAACATCACCGTGTGAATACATCGTGTCAAGAAACAATGGTAAAAGCATGTAGTATGTACATGTGATGCGATGTAATTACCTAAGTGTGGCTCTGTGGTTGTCTTTTTAATATGTCCAGAAAGAGTTCAGTCAGAATAGAAGAAGTAAGTGAAACAATTAAAACACACATACTGCAGAGAAAGTATATTTAGTTAAACATAGATCGCAGTAAACTTACAGACCGATGCCCGTGTAGTGTGCAATGGAAGAAAATCGTTTATACTGTTAGAGGACAACCTGGATTATATTGAATCGTGACGCGGTAACAATGAGCGTTTGACACCCTCGAAATTCAGATCGTGTCGATTAGAATTGTATTTTATTATCACGCTTTACTTTAAAGTTATCAATCGTCAATGATTATAATTTGATCAACTCCGTACCGTATTTGCGCATAAGCCAATCCTCCGGTACAGGACAATAAGTGCCCGTAGGATCCACTTCCCCTAACGATGGTATCTTGCTGGGCCTCCCAAGTTTGTTGCACCATCGGAAAGCAGCTAACTGACCTTAAAAAACGAACACGTGAAATTTTTTCGAGACGTATCGGCCGTGTTTACGTCCTATTAATCGTCTCGGCATAGAAGCGTAATTACGTTGATATCCAGCCCTGTCCTCTTCCGATTTACATTCCTCGATAGCTCTCAGGAAGTAGTCCCGTTCCTCCGGGGTGAGCTTTGAGGCTACTTCCTTCGCTTTTTCTTTCGTCAAACTTTCAGTAAAACCGATCTTGGCTTCGTTGCTGTAACACGTCCTCGGTACAGTCCGCGTATCCAACACGAACGACGGTATAGAACGTTTTTCTGACAGAGAATAATTTCCCCGGCCCGTTTTACCGTGATTGTGATAAAACCGCGACGCGCCCCTACCAAGATACATCATTTCCCGTGGATTAAACACGGTTCGACCAGTCGAAGCTACGAACTTCACACGCATCTCTGCTTGAGCCCGATCGCGGATTCCCTAATAAAAATTCACGCGACTGTGCGAGGCCATGCGTAGCACTACTGTCTAGAACCAGTAATTAAAGTTATCCCGCAATCTATCTGGCAAAATATCCGTCTCGACTGTACAGCCTTTATCGTTGAACACTCGAAGACTCGAAAAGTACAGTACTCGTATCTTTTGATAGATCGACTTGCTGTGACGTCGAGTGACTCAACTCAACCTTACGATCACTTACGATCCTGCGCCACAGTCGGGGTCTCGTATATTCAAGAATGAATACTACGTCATCGGTGACGGAAAGTTTGAAATTTAATCGATTACGTTATCTTTGAAATATTTCCATTTCCAAAGGAAGGTCGAAAAGAATCGTGGTATGAGAATAGGCGGAAGATGTTTCAACGACAAGTCGGTGGACGCTCGATTTTATTCATAATTTATACAATCGATCAATGTATCTGTTATACATCATCTCTCTAATCGCACTGTCTTTATACACGGTCTCCCGTATCTACGATTGGCTTCGTCGAGAAACGCGTTCTCCATCTGCCTGACGATCTCATTGAAGAACAAATTCGACAAGTGCGAATGAATGATCGACTTGAATTCGAAGGACAAAGAGAAATCGATAACGCAGGTCTGCGGATTATTTTTTAATCCCGGACTGAAAAGCCATAAAGTGTTCAAATGATTGAATAGCCTGCCATCGGTGCACTCGGCTTTTACCATGTGCGGTCGCACGGTCGTCACCTTCGACGTGTAACTCTCGTTTATCGGCGGGAACCCTATGACCAAATTGGCTTTGAGCATATCATCGGTTTTTAATATTACGTCGGATTTTTTGCAAAATGGTACGAATTGTCTATAGTTTCTCACGTCGGCTACGACGTCGAATATCTGTTCCATCGAAAACCTGCGCAACAAACAGCATCTTAGAATCCTTCGATAGGACTCATTCGATCTCTCAACTCACCCTATCAATTTACGGCCCTCGTACTCTTTTGTTCTCGCAGTCTCGATCATATACATTCTGTCTACGCATTGTTTACTAAGACTATTTCTTGTTTGGAGCATCGCACTTTCGAGCAACAGAACGCGTCTGCAAAATACCGTTGCCGTTGATTCGAAAGTTGATTAAAAAAAATTTGTACGAGTTCATTAATCACGAGTACCGACTACATTGATAATTACACGATTCATTTATAACAGCCGCGCGTGAATGGAAGCGCTTCACGTGGAAATTTACCTTAACGCTCGTATGGCAAATAATTCATCGTTAACATTCTATTTTTATAATTTTAATTCCAAGATAATTAAAGAAGAATGTACGTGAAGATGGGCAACGACCTTCATATCAGTTAAAAAGAATATTTAATATTATTATACTTCGATAACTAACGGATAATGAACAAGTTATGGACATGGACTTTAACTCTATAATGATAATTTTAATTCCTTAAAATATTTATTCTCATACTTATTATATCTAGTTCATACGTTACATTTCAGAGAGAAACTTATATTTTCTAAAATAGTATTGCAATCTCGACGGCACATAACCTACACATATATAATCTACATTTTTAACTAAGAAGAGGTTCCGAACGACAATGTATAAAATATAATATATATTACCTATACATGATGGCACAATAATAAATTCACTTTGATTCGTCGTCAATGAAGTTTCTATGTACAATTCATATATCTTCACATTCAGGAACTTTGCACATTATCAATTTTTATGGATACACTTCGTTGTTTCTCGTCTAATCTCAAGCGATTCGTTCAATTAAAAACCATTTTATATATTGTTCGTCTTTTAGAAATATAAATGAAATTGCAACAGTTAGTTTATAAGACGGAAGATATATAAGCGCGAGCGAAATGTGGTCGCGCGTGTAAATACGTTTAAAAATAATAGGATATTTTTATAATTCATAGCACCAAGAAATAACACATCGACGCGACGCATTTATTTTTGTTATAAAATTATCAGCAACACAAGTATATATACATATATTTCAATTGCTACACGCGATATTTAAGTGTATTAATAATTAAGTGCCTGACACATTTTATTTAACGATTAAATTTTCCTCGACTCCAGCTGATCGAGTTACAGTCATTCTGCTGCTGCTGCTGCTGCTACTGCTGACAGTGCCACAAAATTTTCGATAGTACATATAAATTTTGCAGACATTTGCGCGGGCAAAGATCACGGTAAAGTTGGCACACCCTCACGTGCGAATCCTTACATAACACAGAAACCGCAAACGTCTCCCGTTCCTGTTTAATTTTTTAAAAATGGCTGGCATCGCACCGCAGGCTTGCAGAAATGCCTTTCGGCAAGTGAGTACAAACAATAAACGTTTCAAATACCAATTCAGTAATTATTATTTATCGATTACGCGTTCGCTTCGTTGTTGCAAAGTATTGTGCAAAACATGAGCCGGAACCTGGCTTCGAACATCGCTAATGTCAGTTCAATTGTTTTTCTTTTTCAGATTCGATATTCTTGTCGTTTCGAACGTCGTAGCGTTCCAACAATAATTAATCGTTAGAACAATGTTACTCGGTAGTGTGTTATTTATCCCTTTTTAATTTACAGTTCCATTATTATTGACGTAACAGCGTACATGTTGTAATCGCGGTGTAATTATGAAATTGTTTTTTTTTTACTCCGATTAACAAATCACTCGGAGAGCAAAGCAGTTTCGTCTATTTTACGATGTCGTTTCAGTGTTAATCTTTTTTCACGCAGGTTAGAGGATTTCACGTTTCTGCGAGTCAGAATGCTGAGGCCCGATTAAAAACCTTCTCCATATATCGATGGAACCCGGACAAACCCGATGAAAAACCATATACGCAAGATTACAAAGTAGACTTGAACACGTAGGTTTATTATTTATAAGACTTCTCGATCTTTCGTTCTACTGACACGAGGAACATTTTAGCTGCGGTCCCATGGTTCTGGACGCATTGATTAAAATAAAAAATGAGATGGATCCAACGTTAACTTTCCGTCGTTCCTGCCGCGAAGGCATCTGCGGTTCTTGTGCTATGAACATCGGTGGCGGCAACACGTTAGCGTGTATAAGGTAATTCCTCTATTAAACAATCTAGAGAGCGATTCGAGTGAAAATTATAAATTGCGTCATTCCTTTGACGTTTCAGCAAAATTGATACTAATTTAGGTCAGACGTGCAAGGTCTATCCGTTACCCCACATGTACATAGTGAAAGACTTGGTACCGGATCTGACTAACTTCTATAATCAGTATAAAAGTATACAGCCGTGGCTGCAACGTGGTGATGGTAAAGACGCTGGGTCCAAACAGTATTTGCAAAGCGTTGAAGACCGTAAAAAATTGGTAATTGGAACGTTCTCGATAGAATTTATCGTTCGCTTATTGGAATACAGTGACGTCTCATTCATACAGGATGGTCTCTACGAGTGTATCTTGTGTGCTTGCTGCAGCACCTCTTGTCCGTCGTATTGGTGGAACGGCGACAAGTATTTAGGACCCGCTGTGCTCATGCAGGCTTATAGATGGATCATTGATTCCCGCGATACCCAAGCTAAGGAACGTCTCGAGAAATTGAGGGATCCGTTTTCAGTATACCGATGCCACACTATCATGAACTGTACTCGAACTTGTCCCAAGGTAAGTCGAAAGAGTAGCGTAAAAGCGATTGCGACTCGAAACACTCTCTTGTCTTCAAACAGGGCTTAAATCCTGGGAAAGCGATTGCGGAAATAAAGAAATTGCTAGCCAATATTAGCGAGAAACAAAAACCTGGCCTCGATGCTGCTGTGTAGGTGAAAAAGGAAGGGAAAAGAATTAGTCGGTCACGTGTATTCTTCAGGTATTACCAATAGATACAAGCTCACGTTTAATTGAACGAAACAATGATATATTTAAAATGTTCGGTAAAACAGCGTCAAGCTGGTACCGAATTTTTTGTAATGAACTAAATATATTTTAATTATTTCGAAAATACTGGCGACATTCATTTTCAATCCCCTTCGCAAGTTCAAAGGATGAATACGACGCATAGGCTCAATTAATGAATGCGATGGGATATATTCAACATTTTATGTTACACATTTCATACGATAACGCGTTATTGCTAATACGAATCTGTCCAAGCATCCATCGATCATTTTAGTGAGCAAAACATTTGAAGATATGTACGTTCACCTTTCTCGTACTAGGAACAAACGTATCCTAATGACTCCGTTAGAAGTTATTAAATTCTGGTGACTCTTAATATCGTCAAAAATGTTCACGCGTGGAACAACTCGTACGTCGTACACGATCGGAAATTATATTCGAATCACGCGATCATACGACACATCGGGGAACGAGAGTGTCTTGGTGTCTTCAAGTAATGATATGCATAATTGAAAACTATCTACAACGTTAAAATGCATTCGAATTAGATTCAAGGTTCCGCAGCCATTCTGCTCCGTGCCGTTTCTCTCGATCGATTATGCACTTCCGCTGTCCTCAGAGTGATACCGAATATATCCTCGTGATAACGAGTCTCATCCTGAAAACAAACAATTCGGTGTTCAACGTGGCTCAACGTTTACTCGTATACGCGTTACTTACGCGTAACGACAGCATGTACGCCTCGACTTGTTTATCAGTCATTTCGCCGTGTGTTTGTATGATATGTTTCAAAGTCTGATAAACGTCTTCGGCCATCGTGCAATCGCCGCAAACGTAGAAGTGACCCCCTTCGTAGACTAACATATCGTAAATCTTCGATGCCTCCGCTTGAATCAAGTCTTGCACGTACGTCTGTATTAAAGAATCACATGAATAATCGCCGCTCGAGTAAATTGATCGATGATTCGCAACCTTTTTCAATCCGGGCTCCCGAGAGAGAGCGAGAAAGACTTTGTCCAGAACCCCGCTTTTCATCATTTCCTCTTTCTCTTGCCTGTACAAATCCAAAGTCTTTTGCCGACAGCCGAAGAACAGCCAGACCTTTCCGTACTCGACGCCTTAAACAATCGTCCCGTATTCATCTGTTTCGTTAATTAACACGCAACGAACAATAATACCTGGATTTCGCTTCATTTCTGCGAGGCGATGGTGCCAAAACCCTCGGAAAGGCGCAATCCCGGTTCCCGGACCGACGAGTATCATCGGTGCGTTCGGCGTGTTCGGCATATAAAAATTAGGAGCGCTGGAAACACAGGAAGATGATTGTGTTTATGACAAAAATATTTTCCGGAATCAGGGAGTTACCTGCGCACGAATACGTAAAGAGGTTCTCCGTCTGATATTTCGCGTAGATAATTGGAGCACACTCCGTAATGCACCGGTCCAGAACCACCTAAACGATTTAACGTTAAACGAAACGTACTCATTTGAAGGGAAAACTCGTGCGTGAAGTCTACCTTGCGTTTTGTACTGTACGACGGCGACGGTGAGATGTATCTGTCCTTGGTGTACGTTCGGAGAAGATGAGATACTATAAAATCGTGGTTGTAGAGGAGTCAAATGCAACAGTAATAAAGGTGCGAATGGTTTTACGGATGGAAATTCATCTAACACTTCGACGAGATTGGGAAACTTCCAATGCCTCCAGTCTTCGTAGGCCGTTGGGTCCTGTATATAAAAATTATTCGTTTCTCACCTGCAACGATCAAACTGTTTAAAGCGAAGATCGGTCGATACTTACGGAAGCTAAAAGATTGAGCTGAGCTTGTTCCTTCGAGTTCGTAGCTATCGTCGCGAAGTATCTGAGAAGATTCGGTGTCGGCGGGGTGGTGATGTCTAAGAATCTTGTTAACAACATTCTCAGGGAGTTCGGCAAATATCTGTCGTGTGCCATCCACGTTTTCACGATGCCTACGAACAAAATATGACAGTTTTCTGTCGGGGGTCGACTATTTAATTTTATCTCGTAACACAAATACGAACCGTTCGGAGTATGAGATTGCTTCTGCATTTGTAATTCGATCGGTACATCCGGATCGACGGGGGTCTGCACGCGTTTTAAGATCGCTTCTACCAGTTCCGTTCTGTTACACGCGAACACTCCTAAATGATCACCGGGCTTGTACGCTATCTCCATGCTCGCTATGTCGTCGAGCTCCAGGAGCAACGTCGTTCCGCTGTAAAATAAAAGGAGACGAAGTAGCTCGCTACGAAAATACGAATTTATGCAATTATTACCTCGACGAGTCACCGCTTAAATTTGTTTTTCGGAACATGTTACAAGTAGTCACGTTGCGATGATGACATTTACTCAACGCTGAAAAAGTACGGTTCAGAATTTGATTTAGAGTGTTACGCAAGACGAAAGACGGATCGTACCTCTTCCAATCGGTTGAGCTTCAGCTTCCACAAAACGTACTGTTGCCACTGATAGAGCTTCGGATCCCAAAGACAGAGCAACCTCGAGTAAAGTATCGTCGTCGTCCAAGCAGAAGGTTTCGCAAGCAACCTGGAACAAATACAAACATTGAAGACGTTCTCCGACGAACGACAGCGAAATCATACGAAACGATACCAACAGCGAAAGTATCGGCCGCCCATTTGCGGAACGCCTGTTCCTGCCCGCACATCTCATCCCCTTGCGCCAATTTCAACAGCCTCTCGCCACCCAGTTCGCCTAATAAATTGTCTACGTAGCGACCGAACGCACAGAAGTTCGGATACGCCGACGAGCCCAACGCGAAAACTGCAAATCTAACGATAAGGGGGAATCGTAAAGTTTCGTTTTGTGCCGGTATCACTCGGAAGTACGTACCTAACATTGCTCAAAGGACCGAAGGTATCTTCAGTCTGGGAATCGGTAGTGGAACCACGAAGAGAATCCAGTCTGTCCAGTTTCTTCGAATTACTCACTTCCGTCTGACTGTTCGCCTTGATGAACGATTTCGAAGTAGCCAAGCTGTGATATATATCATACATACATTTACGATTCATTAATCATAACGCGATTGATCATGACAAGCGTTTACCTTATTTTATTGCCGCTGTTAATGTAAGTTTCGTTCATTTTCATCGCGTACAAGTTTTGCGCGAAAGCCTGACAAACCAAATATATACGTAAGACATTGCTGTTTGAAGTTTTTTTACGTAAATAAACAATGAATATACTTCTCCGTTCTCTGGAGGATCACCGTTCCCGAAAGTGGACGTTATAACTAACAACACAGCTTCATGTTCTATATCGCTGATATCGTAGTCCGACATCGAGAGCACCTGAGACTCGTAATGATCATTATTTTTTATCATCATTAATAACGGTAATTCTAGGATGTTTCAAGAGGCGAATACCTGGGAATGAAAAGCGTGTCCTAACAATTCTCCGAGCTTCTCAGCGTACATCTGCGACGTCCCGGTCTCCGTGGCGAACAACACTGTAGCTTTTATTCTTCGGGACAACGCTCTTCCAAATAATTTCGACGTAAATTTCACGGCTCTAAAATTAGTCACGAGAAACGATGATAGTAAGGTGACACGATTCGATGGTTTAGTTCTACGCAATAACGTACCTCGCGATTTGTTTAAAATGGAACTTCCTCCTCGGTTTCTTAGTCGTCGATCTTTTATCTCTTCCCTTTTTCCAAACATGCGTCTTCCAAGCGGGATCCTATGCTTGTGCAAAAGAGATTCCGATGAATACGCTTACCATGTACTGGATTCTAAATAATGATCGAACGGCTTTTAATGAGACCTGTGAATCGTAAGACGGCTTCAAATGGTAGAGGGCCATTTCTTGGTGGAAAACGGGCGTAGCCGATCCTGATATCGGCGGCACGATCCACAGCCAATCGGCCGGGCATCCGTTCCTCAATCGCATCTCGTTTTCGTAATGTTTCATAAAAGATTCTGAAGCGGTGTGATGATCCACGATCGTCACGTTTCTCATCTGAAAAATTTCGAACATTCCTCGTTACTCCCCGCAACGTTTCCGTGCGATCGTTCGGACAGCCGTGTAGAAAATACTTGAAAACTATGCAGCACAGCGAGATTAGCTTCTATCATAGCTTTGTCCTTCCATAACGAGGTAGAAGTTCTCGTATCCAGTCCCATGTGCGTCGCGATGGTCTGCGAATCAATTAGATATTAGCTATTCGTTCGATTTTATCAATCGAAAGAAACGAATGTAAAAATGTACCTCCAGCAAATTGTATCGCTGCACGTCGCACAGATCTCTCGCCCCGATCTCGGTACTCATATACCACCCGTTGAACGGCGCGGCTGTGAACTCGAGTCCCCCGCAATCGAACACCATTCCAGACACAGCGGGAACCGCGAACCATTTCAATTCCAACTTCTCGAACCAATCGTATCTGCGACGAATAAATGAAAATTGATCCGACGACTCGAAGTGACGAAGTGAGGATCGCTTACGTCGGATGAGTGAGAGGTACTTCTAGGACCAACTCATTCGGAATGTCGAAATAATCGGGATCGTGCCCGTTGGCCGATAAAACCAATGGCAAAATGTCGAAGCGAGTACGCGCACCTCTCCAGCCTAGTTTCATGCACACCTGTAAAAACGATGTTCAGTCGTGACCCACCCAGAATCTTAAACGAGGAGGAACGCGCGCGAACGACGCATCACCTCGGTAAATTCAACGTTCGCGGGATCACCGATTATGGTACCGTCCGGATTCTTGTATCCCGCGTAACTTATTAACTGCTGATTCCACACCCGGTAATCATGTTTGCCATCGGTACGTTGCGGAAATATAGTTATCGCCGATCTTCAAATGCAACGAGTAAAGTATGACGAGCGGTCGAACGTACTTACGTCGCGTTTAATTACCTGATGTTCCCTTTGTTCGTGCTGTATTTCACGTGATTGCACAGAGCCTCGAACATGCCGCTCGTAGTCGTGACGTAGCGGCAATCAAACACCTGTCCACGGATCAGTCGGCGTAAATGTACAATGAGTTTTAACAATTTTTACGAATCGTACGTACTTGTAACTTGGACCATTGAATACGACCGATACACCTCGCGGCGTTGCGCCACGCTAACTTCGCTCCGAAGACTAACTCCGTTTCGGTCAATTGGTAAGTGCCAGTGACGATCACTTCCTTCTGCACGTATTCCCAACGAGACCGATGTGCCTCGCTGTTCAATCTAAACGCGAGAAAATAGTACACGGCGTCACGACGTTTGATGACTGAAGTCGCTCGACTATTCTGTACCTTCTGATAGAAGAAAAGTATTGGTCAAGGAAGTCTTTCGCATGCACAAGGGTCTCTTCTCTCGAACGGGGTTCTGTTCCGTGGTTCGGTAGCTGCATAACGCTACCAAGACACACTTGGCTGGAGCATAACGTTCTCTAAAGAAGTGATACGAATCAAGAATAAATCGGGCCCTGCTATTTTTCAACAGATTATAATTCTTATAAACTGATCCGTTTCGAAACGTGTTCTTCCCTGTTCGTCGACAGTTTGTCATCTATGTTCGACCCTATATACTCGCGCAACTAGTGGATCGCGAAAGAACTCGACAGTGGTATTGACTCGCTGTGTTACAAATTCGCCCACACTCGAGCACCCACGCTTTTCAACGTCATGCAAATCTTCAGCAAGGAAGAGTAACGCGTTTTTATGGAAACGAAAAGAAGAGCCATTTTTCCGCTCGATAAATGCGAGCAGAACGGTTTGCTTCACATACCGAAGATATACGCACGAGTGGAATCAGGAAATTGTGTAAACTTAAGATCTATCGATACCTCGGCGTGTCTAGCGTGCAGAGAATCGAAAGCCTCGGTCTTTTGTATCAGATTTCTCAGTTTCGTCGGTTTCCTCTGAGAAACACCCGTCGTCTCGTGTTCCTTCATCTCGTACACCGTCTCGGCTCTTCTGCTCGACGATACGTGTCCCTGGCACACAACTCTTCTTCGGCTTCGTTCGTACGTCAACTTGACGCGGCACGAAGCTACACTGGTCCACTAGTCAGTTCTCTTCGCCCAGCAATCCAGCATCCCCGTGAAAAGATCGGGAATAATATATCTGACAACCCCTTCTCCGAGCGTCCAGACTCCGCGAAAACGAGATCGTCACATGCGCTATGGAGCCATGCCATTGATTTACCGCGCCAGCACACATACACCCAGCGTTTTCGTGTACATTCCATTCTTTCAGCCGATACTGTTCGAATAAATCATTCATACCTGACGTGCACGAAGCATGAGGCAAATGTCCCAGTTTCTACTCACCGGCGTATCGCCTTACGTTTAAATCGAATTCTGTAGACGGAGTTTTACACAGGGCAAAAGATAGTCTGACGAATTTGATCGCTATTAATTCGAATCAACGACTCCATGCATGAAGTTTTCAACTGGCCTAGTCGATACTTATTTAATTAACGATTGAGAAAATACTGACTCTAAAACGAACGATCAAAATCATTTCCCTAGTGTTAAAGTGTTTCTCTCAAAGATTTTATTTGTATCAAAACTCGTACTGACTTACGTAGTACAGTTCGAAATTCGTCCGTTTGTTACCAAAGGGTGAGTTTCATTCAATTATTTACAGTGCCGAATAATAAGAATAAATGGAGCAAACAGTCCCGAGGCCGGACGTGGTCAAGTCCCGCAAAGTGTTTCCGAGAAAACGCCAAGTACAGCTCGGGATGTTGTTGGCAAGGTTTTACTAAAAGATTGGCGGGCGGCAAGGATCGGCAGGATGACCCATTGACCGTGACCCATCTTCCTCGGAGCAGATGTACTTGCGGATGGGGAATGGGTAAGTCCAATCTGTACTGTCTTTGCTGTTCTTTTAAATTCAATGTTCGCCGTGACTTTCAACCTTATTAAATTCCTCTTCAAAATTATGTCATTCATTTATTGAACAGATATAATTACGAAATTCTATTTAACTTTTTAATCAGAATACGAGAAATGGAAATTGCCGAAACTGAATTGTAGAAGCAACTGCAGGACGTGAAGGAGAAATCGACGTTAGAGAGGAAACGAATACTCATGGTTCAGGCCACGATCTATAAGATAATATAATATAAGGTCTATAAGATCGTGGTTCAGGCTGACGAAAAATCAGAATTGACGAAGTTGCGAAACATTCTTTTCCGTTCGTCCCGGCTAAATATTTCTCTTGAAATACGTAGAGAGACGTGTACAATCTTGTTTCTCCTATGGGAAGGAAAACATTTTACTTGCGTTATCGGTACACGTTGTTATCATAGGTGTAATAAACGTGCGAAACGTTGCGCGCGATTATCATTTCAGAAATGGGAAGATCTCACGTCGACGGATCAAGAATTGCAAATCCAATGACAGAGGATTGCGGAAGAGAAACAAGAGTTAGCTAACGCGTTCGCTGAGAAGGACAACGAAATTATTAACTTGAAGGAGATTGACGCAAACGAATAAGAATTTCTCCGGTTAAGCCACGAGAAGAGAAATATGAGGTGGAAATAGGTAAACGGACATTACGACGTTGAATCAACGGACTGAAGATCAGAGCGCGGATTTCTACTCTGATGAAAATTACGGGAAGGCGAACATTTACTGACTCGTGGTAGAATTATACGTACCATTGTAAAGTTTATTTTCACGAGCTTATGTTCCACTTTACAAAATTACGCATTATGAAATAATTTACTATGTACCAACTATTCATAATAAATGTATTTTAAATTAAACAATAAACAAAGTTACATTCTTATTCGGTAGAACGTGCGATTTAACTCTGTACGACAGTGTCCGCTAATTATTCTTTACAAGTAAACGGAATCTGTTTATTATCTTTATCCTACTCTTCGTTAACTCGCTAAACAATTACTTCCCATTTCATAGATCTCTCTATTGCCATCTTCCATTTCGAGTATCTTAAATCTCTCTCTGAAACATAAACGTTTAAGATCATCGTTAGATCATTTTCATTACATTCCTCATGCTAGTATACAGTTCAAAGAAATCTTGCCGTTGTCTCCGATAGACGGTTCGAATTTTGTGACCTGCGACGCTTCCACGTCGTGTATGTCGATGATACCTATTCCAATACCAGCTAATATAGCTGCACCCAACGCTGTCGTTTCGACCATATTAGGCCTCGCTACGCAAACGATTTAAATTATGTCAACGAAATAGGAATAAAACGTGTACGGCGTAGAAAGAATACGCACCAACAGTGATGCCCGTTAAATCAGCTTGTAACTGCATGAGTAGATTATTTACAGTCATTCCACCGTCGACCTGTAACGACTTTAGTTTCGTATTGGAATCTTTCATCATCGCTTCTAAAACATCTCTCGTTTGGAAGCAAACAGCTTCTAACGCTGCTCGTATGATGTGGTAGTCGTGCGTCTCCTCAGTGATACCGCAGATCACTCTGAGGAAGAGAAAATAAGAGTCGTAAGAGTTCGTTCAACAGATTATCGCCGGGATCTGCTCACCCTCGCGCGTCTTGCTGCCAATATGGAGCGTACAAACCGGAGAACGCAGGCACGAAATACACGTCTCCACAAGTTTGTGCGCGTTCAGCCATTTCTTGAAATTGTGTGAATGTATTGAACAGCTGCAAATTGTCGCGTAACCAGGAAAAAGCTGCTCCAGCCACGGCCACCGATCCTTCCAACGCGTAAACCACTGGATGTTCACCGAACTTGTATCCAACGGTCGTTAAGAGACCGTGCGTCGAATCCACTTTCTTCAATGATACTTTAGGATGTATAAATAGTTCTTTCAACGAGATCTAACACGGTAACACAAGTGAGACACGTACCACGCTCCCGGTGTTGTAAAGTAGAAAACAGCCAGTTCCGTAAGTAGCCTTCGCCTGGCCAGGCACCAAACACAATTGACCAAGAAGCGCACCTTGCTGATCACCTATACACTAATGTAAAACGGATCAATCGCTAAATTCGATCACGCGTTTTCAGTTTTGATTTACCCCTGATATAGGCGTGCCGGCAAGAACTTTCGGCTCGACGATCACGTCATACACTTCGGCACTGGAACGTATATCCGGTAGTATATGTCGGGGAATATCGAAAAATTGGCACAATGACGAATCCCATTTCAACGTGTCGATGTTCATCAACATGGTGCGAGACGCGTTTGAGACATCGGTCACGTGTATTTTTCCTTTGGTCAGATTCTGTAGGGGCAGAGCATGACATCGAGTCACAGCTACGACGAAGATTAACACGGAAATGAACAAGTCGGTTTACGTAAAGAATCCAGCTGTCTATCGTTCCGAAGCAACATCTCTGCTCTTGCACAGCGTACCGAACGCGTGGCACGTTGTCGATCAACCATTTAACTTTTAGAGCACTGAAGTACGGGGACATCGGTAGACCGCAGAGTGGTTTCAAATAATTTTTATTCCTCGTTTTATTGGGTACTTTGTCTAACACTTCTTCCAAAGTCGTGGTTGTCCTCATATCATGCCATACTGTAGAAGATTCATCGCTAGAGTGGAACAGCGTTTAAACGGTAAATCGTCTGCGTTACCTATCGCATTATGCAACGGTTCTCCTGTCTGTTTATCCCACATCACGGAAGTTTCTCGTTGATTCGTGATTCCGATTGCTTTGATGTCTGACGCCCGCAGACCCATGCTTTCCAGTTTCTCCACTGTTTTCGTCATACATTCTGTAACAGCGTTCATTATCTCCGTTGGATTCTGTTCCACCCATCCTTCGTGTAGGTAAATTTGCTTGATTGCAATTTGATGCGAAGCTATTACTGTTCTATGCAGTACATCAAATACCTGAAACACATCTTGCATCACTTCGCGTTCTGTATTAGCATAAGTTCATTATCAATGTATCGTGACCGGTCAAGCAATGCCCAACGGCCTACGCGTCCAAGGTTCGAATTGCGTTCGGTCAATTACTTATTTCTTGACTTGAACGTAAACTGTATACTAACTAAAAATCTAGCGCTGCTCGTTCCTTCGTCGATGGCGCCTATGAGTGAGCCCCGTTCTTTACTGCGCGCGGCACGTGCAGTCTCTTCCATTGCCTCCGGATGTTCGCGAGGTTCGGCTCCGGCGTTTTCAGGCTCCGGCATTCTCTCTTTTGACGTGTACTAGTTAATCAAAGCGAAACAAACTGAAGACCGCCTCAAGCTTAACCTTTGCCCTGACAATAATTTATATAACGGTTCACGTTACATATACAGTTCACTGATAAGAACGCATGACGAAAACGATGAACTCACAAACAGGGATGCTGAGAGATGCCAGAAATTGGATGCCCAACGCGTCCCATACCCAGAATTGTCGGAAAAAGGTTGTCGGAGAATGAATTTACTTTAAGTAAATGTAAAAATACGAGTGTCTACGATTCATGTTCGTAATCACCGCCATAAAACCGCGACGTCACGCTGTCCCTATTATCGTTAGTAGGTTCATTGCAGTGAATAATTCGCAGAGGGGAATCGAGCCAATTTACTGGTGGAAGGGGTATGCGTTTTTCTGGCATCGCTGATTACGAACATGAACCGTAGACACTCGTATTTTGACATTTACTTAAAATTTATTCTCCGACAACGATACCTGGTATATCCGATTAAAAAGTATAGAAGCCCTCGCAGACATCGTTTTTTAATTCTGTCAATTCGACCAAACAGATCATACGTATGTTATTCAGGAACTTCAGGAACGAAGAGAGAACAGTGACAGAGAAAGAATGAAGAGCGATAAACAAATGCGATAAGAAATAAACTTTTATTAGGGTGCATAGTAATGTCTTTTGAATCGTTCGATTTAAAATGAACACTATTTAAACCGGAAAGAAAATTAGACTGCTGCTCTCATGGTCAGGATTTCTCGAATCCACTCGTACGACGTATTCAATTCTTTTTCCCAACTTCTTATGGTGATAAATAAAGACACAACGAATTTTACGATGAATCTTGCAAATTGTTTCACAGGTGGTTATCGACCAGATCTGGTCGACATTGCCGACAATGCTCGAGGATGCAAACGGTTGACGTCGCAAACTCGCAAGTGCTGTTGCTGTTGCATGCGCAACACTGTGCACGTGTGTATTCTTTCGAAAAACAGGCGGCTTGAACTAACCTAACGTCTTGACACCATTGAATCGCATCTTTTTTACTGCTTCACTGTTCCGAAAACTAATTCGCGTACATAGAATAATATATAAAGCATAATATAAATCATACATAATTTGAGTGAGCGCATGAAGACTCTCGTCTAGTCGTCTGACACTAGACGTCGCGAAGTTACTACGTTACTAGTATGCGTGTGTAACGCACACTAGGTTCAGAACTGTCTGTTACTTTCGTTGAATTTAAATCTGACCTGGCAAAGCCTCTGGCAAATTGATTTTCTCGGATTTATTTATATGAAGAGAACGACGACGGTAGAATAATTAAATATGAAAACTGCACCTGAACCGAGAGACATCCAGGTATTATGCGTTTCGCCTTATGCTAATGCTGTAACTAAGATTTCAATTCTAGCCTATAACGAAACTGCACTTTAGACGTATTCGCGTGCAACGCATTATTTTATTATTATTTTCCAGGAATTTCAGTTTAAGCAGTCGTACACTTGCCACGTTCTAGATGCATTCGCGTCTGTACCAGCTGCGTGCAGCTTGCTGGCTGCCGACAGGAAAAGGGGACTGTTATACGCGGCTCAGCACAATAAAATAATTGTTTTGAAGCCAGAAGAGAACAAAGATCCCAAATGGAAACTAGAATTAAACGTACCGGTGGCCGTGTCAAAATTAATGCTTAATTGTGACTGTACTTATTTGGCTGTGGCACCATGCGGACCTCTCGTATTAATTTACGACGCTCAGGCACTCGCAAGAAGCGTACGTCATCCAGATTTATACGAATCTTCTTACTCTCATTTGCCGAGCGCTTTAATTCATACGTTGAAACGGAATTAATCTTTCTTTCAGAGCTTGCAATTACTGTATGAAATCAGGATATCTACGTCGGACGCGAACGTGTTCGTGAACGATCTGAGATGGAATCCTACTGTACCAGGAATGCTGTGTACAGTAGCCAGCGATTACACGCTTGGTAGTTTCAAGATAAAAGAGAAGAAAGAGAAAACGATCGAACTGAAAGCTTTGGAGAAGTTCAACGATTTGGATCCTCTGTGCTCGGCATGGAGTCCCAAAGGAAAGCAAATCGTCGTGGGATGTAAGAACGGCAGTTTAGTACAATTCAAACCTGATTTAAAAGTAGCAAGGACGATTCCCGGCCCAAATCCGTACATCGGAGAGATTATTAGTATTCTATGGATCAGCAACTATCAATTTTGCGCTGCTTATCTAGACAAAGAAAAGGGAGTCAACGTTCTTATAATCGACGCTCCCAAAGGTGAAACGACCGGCAGTTTCACTTCGTACGAAGATATTACTTACGGCGTGTCGGAAGGAGGAGCTATTCAATATTATTTCGATCATGTGCCAGAATGGGGCTTAATCATTGCCGCTAGTAGTACCAGTAGCGAGGTAGCTGTACTGGGATCGGCGGACAAGGGCGTTACTTGGCATCAGTGGCAACTGGTGGACAGCGGCAGAGCAGAATTGCCGTTGATCTGTACTACGGAGAGCTATCCAGTAGGTTTGGCCATCGACAAGTCTCCCGTTAACAGACTACCCTGGGGCGCTGATTCTACTTTACCTCACCCGGTCCCTATTCTTCACATTCTTGCCACATCTGGGCAACTGTGTAGCTTTCACATGGTAAACTTGTTCCCGAATTGTCCCCCCATCAATTGCCCGCCTACCGAGATTGTATCACCTCCTTCGCATGCCCAACCGCTAAACGTTCCTCAGGAAACGTCCATGATCATGAACAGATTTGTAACCAGCACCCCGTTACCCGGGCAACCGCAGAATGTTCCCGAGCGAAGGCCCGTGCCGGCAGGAAATATTTTTGATAAATTTCTTCAAGGGAACGACGGGTTCTTCGCTCAGCCGCCGGCCGAAAAGCCAAAGCAGCAGGAACAGAAACTCGAGAGCCTCGGCATGGAGATGAAACTGGAATCGGCGAGAGAGACCCAACCCCAAGAGACCGTGAAACAGGACTTTAAATCGACGCCGATCAAAGACACTGTGCCGCAAGCAATCGTGGAGGAAGAACCGACTGTGGAAGATGACGCTAAATACAATCGGGCGTACATAGAGGAGCATAATTTATTTGAGAAGGAACTGGAAGGGATGCGGAACAGACTGGGACCGCAAACGTGGGAGTGCGGGACGGAAGAGGAATGTCAAAGGCTCGGAGATACCTCCACCGTACATCAGTTTCTGCAAGAATTGAAAGAGATAACTAACAGTTTGTCCAGCGACATCGCGTATTTAAAGGCGCTTCTGTTGCAGTCGTTCGCCTGGGTCGAGGAGACGAAGTCGAAGAACGCTGCATCCAATGACATTACGAGAAGCTGCGGCGATAACAACAAAGTATCCGACTTACAAAAGCTTTATTATTACACTCAGACGCAGCTGACTCAAGCTAGCCGAACGCTAGATTTGAACTGGTCGAATCAGAAGTCTCAAGAAATATTACGGATGAAAATTCCTCATTTAGAGTTCATCTATCAGAATCTTATATTGCACAGTAAAATAATTCAAGAGGAGCGAAGCAAATTGGAGCACTTTAAGAAACAGTGGAAAGCCATCAGCCGTAACAACAGTATCTTCGGTTTGAATCGTTCGTTTTCAAATATAAGCATCGCACCGAACAAATCTTCGACTGTTCTCCCGAGAAACGCTGGGATCATAGAAGCACGCTGCAAAACGATCGCATTGAAGACTTTGAGCTTTACTGACAAGAAACGGAACAAATTGAGAGAGCATTTATCCGCTTCTACTCCTCAAGTTGTCAAGCCCGTCAATCCGTCGTCCGTTCACGATCGTTTGGAGAAGACGTTGACCTCGTTAGATCTGCGCACTACCACTGTACCCGTCGTTACTAAAAATAAGGGTCAACCCGTTCCGAAGCAAACTACGATTGCTAAAGAGCAGCCTACTGAAAAACCGAAGCAGCAAAGCCCATTGGCTTCCTTGAACAGCATTGTTGCGAGAATCGGTGCCAGCGAAACCACCGGCGTCCTGTCGCAGAATAAACCTCAAACTAAACAACCCAGCTTTAACATCAGTTTCCCGCCGGTATCCGGAAATAAACCTGTACAATCGGACAACAAACAATCGAGTGTACAAGCAGCTACCACAACGTCTCAGACCGTAAAACCGAAACAAGACATTGTTCCATTTAATCAAGTCAGCGGTCTATCGACCAGCTCGGTGAAATCTTTCCCTAGAGTCGAGAATGTCACGTTCGGTGCACCGGTGCAAAAGCCTGCGGAAGTTACTACTCCGAAGCCTGTACTAAAAGACTCTACCATGAAGACCGGAAAGGAAACTCCTTCGAGTACCGATTTCAAAGTAGAAAACAATGTGTTCGGTACGATCAGTTCGTTGAAAGACGCATTGTCGTCGGAGAACACGTCGGAGAAAGTGCGAACAAGCGCTGGTTTAAACTTTGGAATGGCTATACCTCCAACGACGACCAAAAGCGATGCGATGTCCACGTTCAGTTTCGCCAGTCCTACTACCAATGTCGCGCCAGCGAAGAGCAATCCACAAAGTACATTCGTCGCGCCTCAGACGACTAGCGCGCAGACATTTTCCTTCGCTTCGAAGCTTCCGGTCACCGCTACCGCGTTTAACTTAAAAATGACACCGTCGACGACATCGGCTCCACAGACGCAGGCGTCTCCGTTAAATTTAGGGGGATTGTTATCCGGACTTCAAACACCCAATCAAGAATCTCCTGTGTCCAGCGGTAGCGGTCTCAGCCCTAACTACAAACCAACGTTCGGACAACCCGGTTTTCAAATGTTGTTAGGACAAACGACGAGTATCAACCAAATTTCCATCTCAAAAGTAAGCGAACCTCCTCCCAAGGAGACGATGACGACTACTCCTTCGATCACCATCGAGAAAGTAGCAGTCACCAAACCAAAGACTGCTAGCATTCCGACGAGCCCTGTGCAAACCTCGGCCACGTCTATTCCTCCCGTTCCTCTATTCGGCGGTCAAACGAATGCGTCGAACATTTCTGTATTCGGAGGAATGTCGAGTTCTCTTCCGACCACGTCGACGTTTACCGTTACTACCACTACGCCTGCCGTTCAACCGACGACCACTTCGTCCGTGTCCCTGTTCAGCAGCTTCGGTACCACGTCAGTGTCGAGTCCAAACGCGAATACTTCGCTGACCACGGGTCCCGGCACGGTGTCACCTTTCCAAGCTTCGTTATCGAAGCCAACCTTCGGCGAAGCTGTGAGCGCATCTGCGGCAAGCTCCGTGAACACCACCACCGCCACGGCTTCGTCCACCCTTACCTTCGGCAGTATCGCGGCAGCCTCGGTTTCCCCAGTGTTCGGGAAGCCGGCTTCTCCTATGAACACTCAGTTCCAAAACGCAACGACAGTATCCACGACAGCTAACGCGTTTGGCAAAGTCACCAGTCCTACCCCTACGTTCAAGCCTTTCGGAAGTCCATCGCAGACCGGTTCTATATTCGGTCAGATGCCACCGACTTCGAGTACCGGCGCGATCTTCAGCGGAAACAATAATACCAGCTCGATCTTCGGCGGAAATGCTCAGCCGACTGCTGCGAATTCCATCTTCGGAGGAAATGTTAATACGATGAGCACGTTCGGATCGCCGCAAAAGTCTATGTTTGACAGCAACGCGCAGAAATCCGATTCGATATTCGGCTCGCCGTCGAACGCCGGAGGTACGTCTTTCTTCGGCGGTGCGGCGAATAACGTGGCCTCGGGATTGTCTCCGACCGGGTCTTCGTCCGTGTTTGGCGGTGCTGCGATCAACGCCTCGCCGATCGGCGTTGAGCAGCCCGCGATGGGGCAACAAACGGGGTTCGGGCAAGCGTCTGGATTCGGTGAAAAGCCGATATTCGGATCGGCGCCGACGTTCGGCGCTCAGAAGCCGGTATTCGGTGGAGGTTTCGGAGCAACCGCGTTCGCAGCGAGCCCTGCGCCTCCAGGTAATCCATCTGTGGGCTGCGGAGATCTCCGCTTCTTATTTCGTATTCCTTTCACACATTTAATTATCTATTGGTATTTCAGCATTCGGAAATCCACCAACGCTGGGAGGAACGCCGGCACCGATCGACAACAACATGTCGAAAGTCTTCGGGAGTGTGCCTGGTAGTAATACGTTCGAATCTTTAGCGAGTCAACCTGACGGGCTCAGCTTCAGTAGTCTGGCACAAAAGACTGCAGAAACGCAAAAGTCTCCAGTATTCAACAGGTAAGCCGAACATCGAATTTGTCATTTCCAAACTAAGAACTCGAAATGAACGCGTTTTTCTTCCGTTTTACAGTAGCAGCTCTTTCTCCGCCTGGCGGTAATCGACGGACATCTGTAGATACACTGAAACCGCGTTATTTTTATACGAAAATAGAAAATAGAAGGGAAGATTATCTGTCTGTGTCCTTGTCAATCCGTTTAGACCGTGTATTCGTAGTTACTTTTTATGAAGTAGATCGAACGTCATCGATTATAATTGTATCATACATGGACAGAGCGATTTAGCAACGGTTTGACTTTACTCTACAATAAAAGAAATCTTTACAAAATTGTGTCGCGTAAAAAAGTAAATTCAGATTCCCCTCTTTATAGGCTTTGGCGCGATCGACACTTTAGTCGGTTTACAGAGATCTATCACGCAGGGATCGTCAAGGGGTGAATGCGTACACATGGACGAGGAGGCTGAAACGAGGAGCGCGAGAGATATCTCTACGTTACAAGCCTCCATCCAGACTTGATGCGAGAGTAAAACGGTAGTTTTCAGCCTGTAGTCATTCTGCTCCGCGTTCTGTACACGTAGATCCGACTGTCGTGGTAACAGTAACTGTATCTGTTGATCAGGATGCCTCAGTTTGATCCGCAGTATGCTCGGATCGCGTAAATTCAGTATCTTCGCTGTCAACGGAATTCCTAGTAGAAGGCCGCCAGTGAACTTCAACGCGGCATCCGCGTCGCCTCTGGGTTCCTCAACGACGGCCTTACAGAAACGTGTAGACACCGACGGTCGTGGGAGGCGTTCTTCTCCCTGCGTCGCCGGCGTTAAAAGCAACGGCAACAGCATCCGCGTCAAAGATCCTGGTTTCACGTCGGGCAAAGTCGGAATCTGAAGTACGAGAGCTCTCGAGAAAGCCGGGAGCTTCGACGTGTCTTGAGGCAGAGAATCGGCCTCGGAGAGGAATTGACGAGCGAGCGGAAGAGCACTCCTTCCCGTTACGCTTCTGGTCACTCGAATCAGTTCCACCGCTAACGCCCTCAACCATACGTCGTTCGCCAGCGTGATCTCGTTTTCGCCCAGCCCGCTGAACAATCGTTGCAACTTTTGGGTGTTCTTAAGCAACACCGAAACGTTGGTCGACGTGTTCGGTAATGGGCTGGTCGATACCGAGTTCGTCGACGAAATCGCGGATTCGTTCAACACGGATTTCAAAAGTAGCAGACACTTTATGTAAAGGACGGTGAAACGCGCAGCTCCTTCCATGCGATGATCCATCTCTGCTAACCGATCGAGATCAACAGCCGCGGCTTCTAAGAGCTGCGTATATACCCTGCCGCTAGGCCTCGCGTTCTCGACGCCCGTCACCACCTTCTCCAGGAATTCCTCACCGCGTTCGGCACCCTCGCTTGCTTTGTCTTCCTTCCCGAAATCAGGTCCGCTGCTTATGGTCGGTCGCAATCGAGGAACCAAATGCGGCATCGTGTCTCGTAGGTAATGATAATGCTTCGACGCATGCTCCGTGAAAAGAGCGTGCATGCTTGGACAATGCAATGCGGCGTTGAATATCAAGACCAACACGCTTGCGTCTATAATTCGTAGCTAAGGAAAGAAAGACGGCATTTGCACCGTGTATTTCGAGAAGCGAATTGCCAAAAGGATACACGAAGGTTCGTCGACGTCCGGCTCCGGTGTGTCGAAGAAAGGGTGTCGACCGAGAAGTTGCGGTACCAGAGGTAATGTCAAGTACGGATGCGAGGCTCCCAAAGCTGCCAAACAACTCCTGATGCTCTCCCTGTCTTCCGGGTATCGACTCAAGTTGTCGAGCAACCGGTTCACGCACATCAGAAGACAATTCCTCGTAGCTAATCGACTGGCAGCTAGAGTAGCGTGCAGACCTTCTCGCACCTCACCCGAGAAATCCTCCAGAGCACCCAGAATCGTTTCCAGCTGATCTTCGCGAAGCGTAACGATCGCCGACATCTTCCGTAACGACTCGATCGCTCTTAAACGAACGTCTTGTATCTCGTCGTTGAACATGTCGACCATAAATTCCAATGAGATCCTGGCTATGTTCGGCTGCTCCAAGGACAACGTGCAGAGAGCTTCGACCGCTGCTGTTCTCACCTGTGCCCATCGTTTGTTCACGTTAAACTCTTCGAGATACAAACAGAACATCGATTTACGATACCTCTAAAAACTCGTCTTCCAAGCCGTGGATAAACGCGCCACAGGATCCGCTCTTCTCCTCGACTTCCGGCCTGTCTGTTTCTACCACTTTCTGTTTTTTGTCCAACGCTTGTTCTATGTATCGTTGCGACACGCTCTCCATCGTTCCTAAGAGAGACATCGCGGAGGCCCTGACTCTGGGCGACAGATCGCCCATGAAGCTACAAATCTGGGAAAACGCGCAATCTATCATACGTATATCTTCCCCGTCCGGCCCGACGATGATGCTGAAGAAAACGATGAACGACAAACATGATCCGACGATAAACACTGGTAAAAGATTCATACATTCATGAGGTTTGCTCACTTTTCGGGATACTCTCTGCCCAAGAGCCATATTAATCTGAGCACAGCTCTGCGAACTATCTCGTAGTCGTCTCTGAGCGCGGCACAGGCTTCCCCGAAGAAATTTGCAGGCAGCCTGCAGCCTCTGTAGGAGTGGAGCTCGGCCATCGTCTCAAACGCTTGGGCACGCACTCTAGGATCTTGAGAACGCGCGTAATTGCTGACGAGTGCCAAAGTGTCGTCGGTGGTGTTCGCGGTCAAGTATCTGCCGACGATAGAGAGACATCGCGTTTGCACCCCGTGCCAAGTGTCTGGTAAATGCTCGCGAGCAATTTTCAACACGAGCGTCCTAAAATTTTATGAAACGACCTTCTCTCGTATCGTCGGAACGTGTAGACCACGGGGCATGTGTAACGTACCTGTTGTAGTCCCCTAGTTTCAACAGAGTCGCTAAACCCTGACTTTTGACTCTGTGCGACTCCTCGTTCTTAAGAAGTTCAGCTGTTTCATTCACGATCCTCGTCTTCTCCGCCGAATCGTTCGTCACCTCTCCTAGTTCTGTAAATATCCATAGTATCTTGGCACGCACGGCTGCTTCCGTCTCTATGCTGAATCTTTCCGACAGTTTCTTCACTACGGAAGGGACGTCTTCCGGAGAGATGTATGCTATCGTGTCAGAAATGCGAACGAGGATCTGCAGAGCATCGTTTCCACACTTACATTTCTCGAGGCATTCTATATAAGCTAACGCTGAACTTCCCTCAGTGCCGTTCTTACCACCTGAACTAGATACGAGGCGTAATGTTCTTAACCTTTTTAACGGCGGTTCGTTTACGACCTATGGAATGCATAAGCATTAGAAAAGAAAAGATCACGAAGGGAGAAACGAAGGAATCAACGACGGGAGTAATTACCTGACTCTGATTAAACTCTGCTAGAACTCGTTTCTTCATTAAAGCTGCCATTCTAATCAGTTACAATATTTGTACGGAGCTTCGTTGGTATTCTCATTGGTTATACTTCCGGACATCTCTCAGTACTTGGAAAACACGGAACGTAAGAATTCAGAATTGATCCGTATAACAAAAAACGTAGAACGTTTCCTTCGAGGACAATTACATTCATATAGATCGAAGCGATCAAGTATCTAATAGAACTGTACGCGAAGTATATTCTACTATTACCTGACATCAGCTGATGCGACGTGTTCTGACTGACTTCTAACTCTAACCATATGGGCACAGTATTACGTGGGTGTCCAATATATGATAATCCAATAATAATATTTCGTTACGCGTTTATAGTTGCAACTGGTTGCAATAAAGAAGAGCTTTAGAAACGTCGATGAAATTATGCCAGATTGACAGCGGAAGGAACTGTCAAAATAATGCTTGGTCTGGCAGTAACATGGCTGCTGGAGATCAATAGAAAATTGTCATGATACGCTTTGCCCGTGATCATCGGCGTTGTTCTATTTTCTAAAAGATGCATAACACAAACGTTTTTTAAATCGTGACATCGCCTATCTATATTTCTCGTGGAAATGTTATGATTGATCGGGAAGCAGAATGACAGGCGGTGAAAGTGTTCCGAATAACTGTTGACCCGTAAAAGAGAGGGTGATTCACGACGACAATGTAATACAACCGTTAGGAAACCAAGATTTTTATTATGATCATTCGAAAACCACAGATGTTACAGGAGTTCCTAACTAGTTTTGCACGAACATCGACGACGTGTTCCCAGTAAAACATATTAGTTGAACAAGTTTTTAACGCATTACAATATTTTTACACGATCGTTGCTTCGTACACGAAGCCCTACGAAAGACTGCCTGCTGTCGCTGTTTCTACAAGTCTCTCTCGATATTTCTCGATCTCGATCGGTACCGACAGTATTTCAGGATCAGTCACGATCCAGCGGATCGTGTTTCGAGTTCTGGACAGACAGAATTTTAATATGAACATCTATGAATTCATCTGTGTGTCTGTGATCACGTTCGTGACCGGTATAATATGTACACTCGCGCTGGAGTTTTATTTGTTGAAAAAGTATTTGGAGTCCGGACCTTTGGCCAGTCCGACGAAGAGAACTCTTCATCATGGCAAGGCCCGATTACCTAGCGAACTGCTGGAAAGAATTCAAGATGAGAGGCCGAGCTCCTCCAATTTAGCGCGTCAGGGTATGTGCCAAGGGAACGAGAACCTGGCGATTAATTTAACGTTGCAATTTCTGTTCAACGAACTTAGAAATGCAGAGAGAGTGCGCGTTTGGTTGTACAGAAAGTTGAACAACGAGTTCAAAGAATTATTGACTCAATCTACCACTGCCAAACTATTGGACAGTGTTCAGGTAAAATCCGAACGATCATCCGGCGCTTCCTGTTGATCGCCGAACCGATCACAGTTTTAACGTACTTGTTTTCAGTTGAGAGACTTGAACCTGGGCACGCAGTTCCCTACGATAAAGGGTTTAGAAGTAGCAGACTCGAAGATAGACGCGGACACAGGTCTACTGGAATCGTTGGACCTGTCTCTAGACCTGCATTACTCTGGAAATTTTCAGTTGTCCATAGACGTGAAAATGCTACTCGGAAAGACTGCTTACATGGCGTTGCAAGGTAGACAGAACCGGACGACGCGACACGAATTGATTTTAATTCATGTAACTTTACAGTGAAACGTATTAGTGGAAGAGCCAGGCTACAGTTCACCCGCGTTCCATACACACACTGGTCGTTAAGTTTTTATTCGGATCCTATACTGGAATTGGAGGTGCAGTCCCAATTTCAAGGCCGTCAATTACAACCGCAGATCATCTCTCTGATCACAGGACAGATTCGGCGGGCTGTCCGCAGGAAACACACTCTACCTCGTTATAAATTGCGTTACAAACCATTCTTCCGCAGACTGAACGACGAAGCTGTAGATCTGTCCGAAGTAAGATACAGAAGTTTCGACAAGTTCTAGCTTTACGTAAAACAGAGCGTTCGTGGTATCGACATGGTAAATAGAATTTGGAAATAAATTTACTTCGTCGTTTCATCGTTGCGACGTGCACGTGGCTCTTCACACATCGTGTCCGTCGTTACATTGTTTACACGTTCAGTTCTATAGAATCGTCGATCTATTCACAAGTATTTAACGTTTGCTCAGGTCGCCAATATACAGTTGACGTCCGGCTATTTGGAAGTATCGCTGGTGGAAGTGAGCAGACTGAATCTTGGACTTAACATGCTCAACGCAGAGGACAGATCGCAGATCGAGATATACTGCACGATAAGCGTAGATTCAACGCCTTGGGTGTATCTCACTCAGTACACAGGAGTTTCTTACATGGTGTTGGACGTGATCATCAGCAAAGTCAGTTCCCAACAGCTCGGCGTAGTGTTCAAGCAAGAATTCGTGCCAGAGATAGGTCATGTCTGCGTGCTGGTCGAGACTATAATAGCCGGGAGTCCCGCGGCGATAGCCGAGATGAAGAAGGGGGACGTTCTAGTAGCCGTGGACGGTAAAAAGGTGTCTAACATGAATCAGGTAGCGAAATTTGTAAAAAGTGCTGTGCAGAGACGTTTTATCATACGGGTCGAAAGGAAGTATTCGAAGGCGGACTTGGACAAGCAAATTAGCACGAAATCGGAGAGCGAAAAGCTGTCGGCGGAGAGAGGCGTGGACAGGAAGACGTTGAAATCCGACGTTGGATCGAGTAAAGGAGACACGCCAAACACCGAGGACGGGAAGATCAAGTTCGAGAGCCAGATGAAGCTCGAGAGCCAGGCCAAGTTCGAGAGCCAGATCAAGTTCTCGGACTTGAAGGATTCTGAAAATGAAATTGCCGACAAGCTGGAGACCGGTTCGAAACTGTTCAGGAGACGAAAAAGCAGTGCGCACACCGACGATACTGCTCAAACGCCGGACACCACGCCTTCCAGAAGAATTTCAACTACTTCGAGTCAGTCGATAACGTTCGGTAGCTCGCAGTTCTGTTTCAACGACGACAGCTACGTGACGAACGTGTCGGACTTGTATTATACCACGAAAGAGAAGGAGTACGCGTCTCTGATCATTTTCGAAGAGACCAGAATCTTTCACATCGATTCGGAGCATCAGTACTTAAACATAGGAGTGTGGGGTCGCGTGAGGGGAGGAGAAATTCCTGCGAAATTACTAGGTTACATAAACGTTCCCATAAAGCTGATCCTGGCACAGTGTTACACTTCCACGACCAGTCACTATCTCAAATGTCATGCTCTGTTACCACCCGACAGCGGTACGTACCGTTTCTATCGAATACAGTTTCTCGTACTTTCGTTTTTCGCTCGGTCTATATCGATCCTACGTTTTCTGCTTTAAAGCTTCTTTAGCGATAGTCCATCCAAAATTACAAGGCTATTCAGGATTCGATCCGACGCTTTGTTACGGTGACATTTTATTGTCTTACGTGTGGGAGTCTAATTACCCGAGTCGTCACATGGCCGGTGACTCAGGGAAGAAGGAGAACACGGAAACCGCTAAAATACCGCCGGCCTCGAGCGAGGAGATCAACGAGAAAAAAATGCACGATTTCATTAGAACTCATTTTCATAGAGCCACGCATTGCGACTTCTGCTCGAAGAAGGTCCGGTCCCTCTCAGCGAATTGCTGCTCTTTCACCGCGTACCGCGTGCTACTCGTAATCACAATTTATACGTCTACTTCGCAGATCTGGCTGAAGGATGCGGTGCAGTGTAGAGACTGCGGGATGGTGTGTCACAAGAAATGCGAGGTCCGATGTCAAGCGTCGGGAACGTGCGGGGCCGAGAGTATAGCGGCGATGGCGTTAGAAGCTGACGAAATAGAGCCTACTACTCTTGTCGGGGAATCGGGCCCAGAGATATCGTTAACCAGTTGCGAAGAAAACGTGCAGGTACTCAAGACGTAGTAAAAGTTTTTACCAAACGAAAATGGATATTGCCAACTTGCCGAGATCTCTAAATTTCCTCGCAGCATTTCTATCAGCAATGATCGATGCTGTAGTTGACAATTGGTTCGTTCGTTTCTTTCTCCCCGTTAGAGAATCCGACGTAAACTAACGTTCCTTCAAGTTCGCCACGTGTGTAACACACGTAGATATGTGTTTAACTTATACTTTGAGAACGAATTGTGAACTAATTTTAAAAGGTGGCACCTTACTATTCGATTCCCGTGAAAATGACTTTTCGAGAAAGGAATACTACCATTTATGCACGTCTACGTTTTAACACGTGTAGTCACGTCCGATTGTACAGTACGCAGTCAATGATAATTGCAGTTTCCCCGTGCAATTGTGTGAACTTGAAACGTACTTGTACGTAACGTCGAAACAATTGTTAAGTGTGATTCACTCTATTGTTGGCAATAAAAATGATCATTTGCATAATAGGGAGGTGAAGGTTTTTTGTAGGTTTGCACCTTGACCTTGCTTCTAATGTTCAGTATTCGAGTATTCCGACTCGACGACATCGTAACCGAATAGACGATTTGCTTTTTGTCTTGACCGAGCCCACTGAAAGCTTCTCTCGATATCTGCCCCCTCCTTACGTTTCTACTTTATCAATTCTTACGATCGGACAGAAGTAGGACGATTAATAAAACTGATATCCGTTGGTCGATTGATCAGGGTGCGACTATGATGGCCATGAAGGCTAGTATAGCTAACACTCTGTTGGGCCTGAAGAAGGCTGGAAGTACCAGTTGCTTGGCCCCACCAGCTTCCGGTACCGGCCTGGCGTCTAGAAGTCTTCCCCCAAGTCCCTGTGCATCCCGCAAGGTAGAATTTACTAACACAAATTTGTTCAGTTGGAACGGAGAAGGATCATACTGATTAGAAAATTGCTTCCTCCGCAATGGTTGCGTCTATTTGTTGCGACGTTCCTTTTGAAAATGTTCCGTCGACGGAGATCGGATCAAGTCGAGAATTTAGGCCTTCTCTGCTCTATTCCTCTTCTTCCTCCTTTTCATTATAACAAACAAAAAAAAAAAAAACACGCTTACGATCGCTGGGACGTTGATCGCAACTCTAAAGTTTTCGATCACTCGATGTCCGCTTCGCGTTTACTTCTTCGCGCAATGTTATACAACTGTTCACAAGCTTTCTCTATTACTCTATTCTCTGTCGCACGACGTTCTATCTGCTCATGGCACTAATCGTTGTTTGGAGCAACAAACAGCGCGGATGCACCACCGTTCAAGTCGCCACGCTTGTTACATGTATGACGCGTCGCTGTGTAACTACAATCTCTCATAGTGCATAAACCGGTGCTTTGGTTGCGTTGTTTTCTTTAGATTTTTAACTATCGAACCAACCGAGGTAGGTGCATCTTATTCGCTTAGTGGCAACGCTTAACGACCGAACATTAAACGAAAGATGTCGTGTGCCAACGAATCTGATCGAATTATTGAAACATTTAGAACTCGTTGGTCGGAGGCTTGGGCATAAGCTCCGATCTGTTGGAGGGTGCCGAGCCTAGCGTGGCTGCACCTCTGCTTGCCGGAGAGTTGGACGACGGTCTTATGTCCAGGGCTAAAGACACCGGCAAGTTTTTGTACAAACACTTGGAGCCAGAGGAACGCGTCGAGAAGATCAACGAGATGGTGAGACTCGAACCTCGTTACGTACAACTATTAACTGTGCAGCGATCGTTTGATCGATTCGTTTTCTACAGATAGGAAAACTGAAGACTGCGCTCGACGCGGAAACTACCTCGAGACTAGGGATGTCACAGAGCGGAGACAGTGTCAAGCTGACCGCCCAAAGCGATCTACGGGTGCAAGCGCTCAGTGTCTTACTTTTACATTACTGCGCCGGTTTGCAACACGCGCAAGAGGCGTTGGACCGATCTCGGAGCAGCGAGGAGTCTTAATCGACTAAATGCTTGTTTCTCTCTGTTCTCTAATCTCTGTTACCAAGTCGTGTCGATGGTCGAACTCCGACCGACCAATTTCTCGAACGATCTCATTCGGAGATCTGCCTCTGTACGTATCGCGCGCATATATCAATGCAGGTACAAGTTTTCTCTTTAGATCGTCCGGTGTATACAACGTCGCGTTAATAGAACTCGAGGATGCTCGCGAATGTAATCGTGATACCTCGATAGATTTTACCGGGAAACACCAAATATCAAGACTCGTATTTACAAACTATTTATGCTCTGGTAGAGAAGAGTACAACGTATACCAGATGCGTTTACGCTTACGGTATTTTCAACCGCTTAGACAAGTAGTATCGCTGTAAGGCGTTTTAGGGTAACGAAAGAGAGATTGACAATTTATCTGGAAATCAACGAACAGTTAGGCGTTTGATTTGGTAGACTCGTGAAACGGATATTACACTCTTCGATGTCGATATTAGACACGTTCGACACAGCATTTTCCTTCCTTCTTTTTTACTCGAACCACGTTTTAGCGATCGTTATGGTCGAATTACGACGAATTAATTGTCCAACCGGTTTGTCGAATTCGTCGACGCGTATATTACTTATGCACGATCGCGACGAGCGACGTGAGTGTACGATACTCAAATTCCATCCATGTAACACCAACGTCGACGTATCGATGTGCGTTTCGCGACTTTAAGACGTCACGATTCGTCGTTGACATGTAGAGTGGACGTAAGACAGCAGAGCGAACAATACAGATTGTTAAACGAATGTTCACCGATGATCGAAGACACAAGCGGACATGAAGTTAATAAAATGTTCGTTAGAACGTGTAAGATACTCCGTTGCACTCGTGTCTTCAGTTTTATACTCGTGACAACGGCGCAGGCGGAAGCAATGTTTCGCGAACGATTCATTATTTTCCGACGAGATATACGCACATGCGTCCCCGTTCGAACCGCGCTCGTATTCTCGGTAAACATGAAAATACACGAAAAATGGAGACGCAGTAACCGGGCGCACAAAGAATCGGCGCCGGAGCCAAACGTTTCGTAGGGCCAACGTTCGACCCGAGGGACAACGATGGAAAAAATAGCCGGCGAGACGAAATTTTCCGCGGACCGCGCGCATATGTCATCTCGTGTTTTCGGCCGCGAATCGCACATCAACGAACTTGGCGCGATTCTTTCGCGCGTTGCCGGAAAGTTTGTTGCGTCGATTATTCGTGGAACGCGACGTTTCTTTCTGTCGCGGGTTGCCAGATCACGTTTGGCTCAAATTTAGATATTCTCGGATCACCGGATATACGATTGCGCATCGATTTTGGAAACGCAAAGTCATCCGGTTATACCGGAGGCGATGACGCTCGCGGGTAGACAAAAATTGTCGCGCGTTCCACGTGACGGCCGCGAGGATCGTCCTTCGGCGCTCGTGGTAGACCGTTTGGCGACTGGAGAACCGCGAACATCTTTCTAGTACCCTACTGGATACGCGCAGTTCCGCGCGTGTCAGAGTAGTGTCAGAGTAGTGTAAGAGATAGAGAAAGCGAAAAGAGAGAAGACGGGTACACGTGCGGCTTTCATCCATCGCAAGAGAGTCGATGCGTCGAGAGAAGAAGAGAAGTCATGGGGGATTTTGGCCCGCGAATCTATTCTCGTCTGTAAAATGCACGCGCAGTATCCACTGGCCGCGTGCCAAACGTACCGAGGAATGGTACAAACATTTCATCCCTGTTGGGCACTCTGCGATGAATGGAGAGCCGTGGAGAGCAAAGTCCTCGGTCCAGAGAAAGTAGCAGCGTGCTCGATTAATTCGGAGTAGCCGCATAACGATAGCTCAGTCCGTCGCTAGAGACGAGATTCGTATTTATTTTCCTGCGCGAAGTCGTTTGATCGAAGGAAAGTATCGAGCGCGTCGAGACCGTCCTCCTCAGAACGGAAGTTTCTCTCGAGAAAGAGGCTCGGAGCGAAGCCGGTGCGTGCGGAACGTTTTATTGCCGAGCGGAGCTCGCGCGTGGCATTTTGATCGCGACGCTCCTGATGCATCGTGCTGTTTTCGAAGGAATACGAAGAAAACGACTGGAAAAGTTCACCGGCAATGTCTGGACGGGCAATAACGACCGTTTCGCGATGGCGCAGTAGGCATCGTGCCGAACGAACGGTTCGTCGTATTTTCGACCTCGGTTTTATACGATACTTTTAGCGAATATGCAATTCGCGAACAGACGGGCGAACAAAGACCGTCGGCAACGGACCGGAAACGAGCGAAATCACGAACCATGTTCGAAAAGAACGTTTTTCGTTCGAGCCTCACTTCCTAGTCCTTACGCGTGTTGCACCGACGGACGCACGTTTATGTAACGACGCGATCAAACATATACGTACATGCATTTATGTGCATCGTTCACGCGTCACCCATGTATTCGGCAATAGAAAACATGTCGTTTCGTCGGATAGGTCAAAATACGTCGAAAGATTGAAATTACGTTAAACGGACCAGAGCCATTTGGATCCCCTCGCCCGATCTTCATAGACGATGATAAATCGTCGATCTTACGCCTGCTGATATCACGGATTTTACCGTCAGTAAACTGAGAAACTTTAACTGAGTCAGTATGGTTTCTCTTGTTAACGAAACGAAATGGACCAGTGGTGAATTAATGATTCACGAGTTCCGGGACTAAAACGAACATGGGGCCCATTTAAGGGCAGTCAAAAATTATCATTTTGTGAATATAAATAAAAACTATGCTTTTATTGGACGTTGGAGCCCGGGGCTACAGCCCCTGCTAGTACCTAGCTTAATCCGCCCCTGAGACGGACCTACGGCGTACATTCTGTTCTACTCGACGAGTACATGGGTGATCAAACGTCACCTGTACAAGCCTTCCAACGCGGGACAAACGATTTTTCAAAACGACAGAATTCGAAACGACGTTTCGTACGCGTCAAGTTAACAACTGCGTGAAATCCGCGGTCTATCGATCAGCAATTTCACGATTCTTACGTATCGTAGAATCGAACGTTAGGCAGGAAGCTCGGTAGTGAGTCACGTAAACGTGCCGTCACTTTCCAAAGTTACACGCACGTGCCTCCTTCCTAGTGCAGCCGCAATCGAACGAGGTTCGATCTGGATAAACACGCGATCAGACGAGTCATTCCGTTCTGCCAGAGCTTACGCACCAGTTCTTACGCTCGGAACGGGCCTCTTCCTGGTCCCATCGCACGCGCAACTTCTGTGTCTCGCAGTCTCGCGCGTAAAGACCTTCGAGTGGCTGCGTCTATCTGCCTATTTCTGAAACCGGCTCAATGCCGCGCGTTCAACGCGATTCGACTATTAAAGAATCGCAACGCGGAAAAGCCGCGAACCGAAAGATCTCCCTATCCGCTCGTCCTTTCCTCGTTGAAACAACAATGACGGTCAGAAAATTGAACACCGGACAAATTCGCGACAGACGGATTCGACGCATTCACAGAAACACTGATATCATTTTTTAAATTGAGCGATCGATCAACGATTTCATGACGATTCGAATCCTAAAGACAGAAAGCGCGCGTTCATGGAACTGATCCGTGCTGATCGAACGTGGACGAGTCGCGGGCCGAATGCACCTGTGCACGTAGGTGCACCGGCTCCTGCAGTTGTTTTGAAACAAAGACGGAGAGAGGGAGAGGGAGAGAGAGTCGAAACAAAGTAGTCAGCTGATTCGAGATGCATCTCTGGTGGGAGACGTCGCAACGAGAGCTTAAATAGCACCGCGTGCAGTTCTGTAGTTCAGTGGCAGGCAGCGTCGACTGAAACGCAATCGTTACGATACCATCGCCGTCTTCTCCGAGAGTTGTTCCACTGCGGGAAACGCAGAAAATCGCGCGAATCTCGCGACTTTGTGAAAGATCGAGGACGCAACGATCTGGTTCGAACCGCGATCGCTCGCTCGATGTTCCGAAACCCGACCCCTTCGTTTCTCTGAACACGAGCACGGAGATTCGTCGGTCTCACCAGGAAACGTTTGGCCGAGGAGTGCGTCGAAGGACATGACGAGTTCTTGATGTGACAGAGTCCGTACTTCGAAGCAGAGCGCGTTACAGCGCGTACTTGGTTGCCGCTCAACATTTTGGGAGTTCGGTGAAGAGTACGAAATTCGTATCTTTCTTCTTCCGCGCGACGAGCAATAGGAAACGAAGATGAGACCACCCGCGTACAATGGGGACGAGATGCAACAAATCTCTCAGGAGCAAGGCGAGAGGAACGTGGCCATGGCTGTTTGCGTGCAGTTGGCGGGCCGGGCGATAATCAGGGTAGTTTCCCGGTGCGAAGAGGCGCAGGACAATTGCAATTTGGGTAGGTGAAACCCGTCGCCGAGAGATCGACTACCGATTACCCGTTCGTTCTTCCACCGTCCTCGACGACAACGTCGAAGTTCGAAGACACGGTTAAAATTAACCATTAGTCATTGTCGATTTTATAACGAAACCTGGCGAGCATTTTAATTTGCCAGAGAACGAACAGATAAAAATCGCACCGAAAAATAACGCGAAATATTTTCTACTAGCAACGCTCGATTCCGTAAACCAGATAGAATCACTCAGCGAAACGTAATTGTTTCCTCAGCGTTTTATACTTTCTACGATACGATATCTTTCCGCGTTCAAGTGTATTATACTTTCCCCCGGGTTGAGAATTTTATTCGAACGTTCTTCACATACGCGCACCGTTTTCACGTTTCACGGATTTACATAGATCCGCGTTCTTTATACTTTCTGCGCGTTCAATCGTTCTATAAATGTATCCAAACCCGCAGTATGACGACTGCGTTCGTAGAAAACTCGATGCCAGGGACATTTAGTAGAATAATTGGTGGAACGGGTAAATCGTGAGCCTCGTACGAGCCTAATAGACATCGGTTGTTCGCTGCTCGTAACGCGTGGCCCGACCCCCTACCGGTATAATTCACTCGCGGCGGTGGATGCGCTGCTCGACATAATTTCACGGATCTTTATCGCGTACGAGCATCGAAAATTGCTAACGAGTGCGAAATTGTGAAATCGACTTAAAACTCTCGCGTAACTCCCCGCGGCTAACAGAAGGGATTTTATGGTCCTATCGACGTCGTCAGATATTCATGAAAAGTTACTGTCACATTGATCTCCGCGGGACTCGGACACGAGATTCGCGGTCTGACGACTATTTCGTCGACGTCGAAAGTCGACGAACGCGTCTCGTTTAGCGACCTTAGGATTCGTACGGCCGAAGGGCCAATAAAATTGGCAACTCGATAGATGTTTCTGGCCGGCCTCGATTCGACCGAGCCGACTCGACTAAATCGAGCACGCCGCCTGTCATCGCTGCGTTTTACAACGGGAAAAACGATCCTTACGAAATTCCAGTTATCTCGCAGTTAATCGAGTTTCGTTCGAGTCCTGCTTCGAAATTTACTCTCGGATCACCGCGTAGATCGCGAGACTAGTTTCCTCGTTCAAGCTGGAAGAAAGAACGGGTCTCGCAGTCCTCGCCTTATCCGCACACCCGGACAAATTCGAGGCCTTCCTCCTCAATGTCGTTTCTTCCAACTTCGGCTTCTCCAACTTCGACAGCGTATTTTTATACGAAGCGTTCACGCGTCACACGCAGCCCATACTTTCCGCGTGTGCAATTTGTTTGTAAATACATCGAATCCGCGTTCAACTTCGACTTTTTCTCGGAATCTTCCCAATGACTCTGACCGTTTTTTACTTCGCGTCGCGAGCACCGCGTTCACCGGGCAGTCAAATGCAAACGGCAGATTTCTAATCGGTAACCAGCGAAAGTCTCGAAGCGGAGAAAACGAGAGCGAGAGGCACTCGCTAGCTACTAGACTAGACGCCTGCACCCGTGCTCCTCTACACGTATAACGAATAGATTACAGATTTTATACATTTGTGGAAGAATACGACGCGCAAGTACACAGTTTCATGACAGCGGCGTGATCGGTGGCACGCGTTTACTAAAGAGCCACACGTAACAGGTGGCAGTACGCGGCGCAGTCGAGGCTCGCGCATTAGCTCGAATGAAAAGTGAAATGCTCAATGTTTTAGCATAGATAATTGGTTGGATAAACATAACATTGCACAACTCCCGTATCCGGTCTTTGTTCCTCAGGCTCTCGCATCGTTGCGAGCACTCATTTTTCGTGAAGGATCATTGTTTTTACGTAAGGGTTCGTACAACGTTAACAGCACGCGGGCACAAAGCGAAAATTTTACGGTCCGCGCGGGACGAATGTTTGTTTGAATGTTCGCAGTCGAATTATTATACGACGTAACGCGTCGACGGTGAGTCATCGGTGCATCGATGGAAAAGATCTTTTGCACGTTTTGGTGGCATCTGCGTGCGCGAAAGGTCGATCTCGGAATAGTGATCTGCTACCGAGCCTTGACAAAATAAACGCGCGCGCTCGGAATGCCGCGCGAGGTACGTCTCTTTTCTTCCTGATCCTTCCTCATCCACATGTACTCGAGACAGGGTGCCGGGCGAACTATCCATGAAACTATTTTGAATTCGTATGATAAATGCAGTTGAGAGAAAGAATTTTCGATCTTCGTTCGGGAACAAGGGATCATTTGTTATTTCGTGAGAAACACGAACAGTGCTACGTTTTCACAGGGCTACGGGTTAACATGCTGCGCAGAAACGCACGAATCCAGGTGTCAATACGTACAGGAGCGAAACCTTACCGTTCTTTACCGTTCGTTACCAAAGCCGTTCACCGGGTTACAGCGAAGAGCTATCAATGTCGATACGAACAATAAAGCTATTCGCTAGTTTATTCGGTTGACAATATCACGATACGATTCAGATTCAATGCATAATGTAATAAAACTAGCGAAACGATGGGTGAGGTAAAAGAACGTAGGATAGTGTCGGTAGTTACTTACGGTCGTAATTTGTCAGAATATTAAGGCAACCACTTACCTGGCAAAGGAAGAAGTCACAGCGAATAACTTACTGTTGTTGGAGGCTTTCCTTCGGGGATTCGAATCAGTCGCTGTTAGTCACGAACGGACACTTTTAAAGAAAAACGGTTACACGAACGTTGATTCACTGGAATTTAGAGGGAATCACGAGGAAGATGGCGGGTCGCGCATGCGCAGGAAAGATGGCAGCGGAAACGCGTAGCGCGGTATTCGATGTATGTACGAACGAGTAGCATCTACTTTCGCCCTGTCACAATATTTGTAAACTGCATGATCCATTCCTCAAGATTCGAGCTAAGATCGAATAAAATGGGCGGATCGTTGAGAGAAGCGACGATCGAAAGTAGAACAATGCATCGAACGCGTCGAAATTATTCGCCTAAGCGTAGTTTTACGAAAGTAGTGCGTTTCCAAAAGTATAACGAGTGTCAAGGCCATCGAAGCTAGTGCCGTTTATTTCTGAATTCCGTCGAAAATAAATGTTTCGCAGTTACTTAGGTGCGGTGGCGAAACTTCGTGGTCGAACATTTGTCGCGTACTAGTCGGATTTAGTGAACGTGTGTACCCGAGGAAGATGGCGAACGCCGTCACGCGGGTGGTGTTACGCTGCGAAGACGCGCAAGAAACTAACGATCTAGGTAAATTAATTTTCGTGAACTACCCGAAAAGTAATTTCGTCGAGCCGTACAAGTCTTCATTTTCGTTCAAATTTACGTCTGCTTCGTTTCGATCTACCGTTACTGACGTGATTACTTTAATTTAGTTCGTGACCTAGTTTCCGTGGCTGCTGCATCGCGGGTTTTACAAATGAGTGTACACGTTCTTTGGTTCTCTTGCGTTTCCGTTAGAATTTTCCAATTTTAATCGAAGTCGATGTACAGTAATCTCGAGATCCGGAATCGGTACTTAGAAAATGTCGTCGCGAAACACTGACCTACTTCCACAGCTGATCCGTCAAGAACACAGTACCTTCGAGCCCCGGTTGTAACGATCACTGTGACACGTGTACTACTTATTTTTAACGTCGCTCACGTTTTACACACGGCAGCGTGTCGTAATGTTACTTCGATGCAGAGTTCGACACGCCTTGTCAAATTGATCGTGTAACGTTCTTGCAGACCTGTCAGGGTGTCAATTGATGCAGGTACCTGACGCGGTCTATCATTTGATGCGGCACACAGAACTAAAGAGATGTAACCTGTCAGGAAACGTGATAACTAAAATTCCACCGAAATTTGCCGTTAAGTTCTCATTGATCACTGGTGAGTCAACAGATATATTTTTCTCGTCCAAGTTGTCACGTAGGTAAAAAATTCGAGCGTGTGATCGTTTTCAGAACTGAACTTGAGTCACAATCAGATGAGCAAGCTACCGGAAGAACTGGCCGAATTGCAAGCCTTGGAGAGGTTGGACATTTCTCACAACACTTTCATCGCCTTACCACCTGTTGCGTGTCGGATACCGCAACTCAAACGGCTCCTTGCCAACAACAATTCGATCATTGGTAAGCATTGCCCGTCAGCGTTGCACAAGATACGATCGGACGGTCCAGCCATCGGTATCACGATCTCGATGCTTTCGTTCTGTTTAGACGTGGATGTCGAAAGACTTAGGCACGCACCCGCGTTGGAATTCATCGATCTTCAAGCCAATCCCCTAACGGCCAGGATACACGACCTCCTCGGCACTCTGACTCGGATTAAAATCGAACTCACGCCGAGGCAAGTCGAAGAGTGGGACGATCTCACTGTTTGAGGTGCGCTCGTGGTAAACGAGAGCCTGTCCAACGCGGACGTATAGTTTGCTTCCATTATCATTGACTGAGATTGTGTTCGGAGACTCGCAACAAGAGCGGGTACTGCGTACAGTGACAAAAAGAGCATCCGACTGACTGACATCAGGTAGCTGGCGATAAGCGTGAGTGACGAAAAAATCATCGGAGGACGGAACTTCTCTCGCTCGACGTTCCTCTCTATCGTACTTAAGGACAAACTCGCTGAGTACCTGGAACCTTTTTTCATTGATCTCGTGAAAACTGATCAATTCGTCACTTTTATTCTCATTTCGTACCGTGTGAATTTTTCTTTTCTCTTTTTTTTCTATTAGAATTTACTCACTCGCTGCTCGCACGTTTGCCCGTGCGATTGCTGTGATCCATGTTACGCGTAACATTTGCGAGCTGCCGATTCAATTTACTATCGTATTTTTACTAACTCCGAATGAGTACCCCGTACGTTTAAGACGATATATTCTATTATTTTTTATGCGTGGACTTGACATGTTGCGTAAAATGAAATTGTACGACTGCCAATCGACTGTTGCTGACGATTTTCGCCATGATCAAACGTGTATTTTGGTTTTACAGAACATCGAAACGAAACTAAACGAAATTAAATGTATAAATCAGGTATACCGACTATGATACGTAAGAAGAATTCACGATTTTTATTACCTCGGCTTTGAATGGCGTCGTGTCGTGGGCTGTAAAAATTTTTGCAGCCACGATTCTACTTAATTTATATAAACGTTGTATATTATGTATCGACTGTAACATAGCTTTGCGTATCTGCACAACAGGTATCAGAACTTATTTTACTCTGTATTTTCTGATCTAGTCAATTGTCCGCGAAAAAGTTACAATACACTTAAATGAAACACATTTTACTCGTTCGTTTCCTCGAACTTCCTCTCCTTTCGACGAATGGAAAGAACGCCGGGATAAAGCACGCTCGACCACGTAGTATTAGTTTAGTAGCTATATTTCTTCGATATTAATAATAATAATAATGATAATAATAATAATGATAATAATAATAATAATTAAACGTATAATGAGTCACGGAGTTAATTATCTACAATACTTGTTCATTGATATAAAATCACAAAATATACATAGAATGGACGCAGTTTAATATTAAGAATTAAGGTAGACATACGGATCTCGATTCTTTTCCTTCCTTCGTCCCTGTCTCTAAACTTATCTAACCATTCTCTCTTCTCACTTTCACAAAGTGATACAGCCTATCAAACGATCAGCGTTCGAGCGAAAAGTACGTGTCGCGTAAAAATACTGTCGTCTGCACACTCGCGAATCCTGTAAAATTCCTCACTGCATCTTCCCGCGGCCAAAGATAAATTAAGAAGACGAAGAGACAGAACTCTTGCGAAATCGTAGCGAAACTTATGACGAAACATCGCGAGAGGGATTTAAGAAAATTACAGCGACCGACCTAGCAACACGCTGCGACGAACCAGAGGGACGACCGATCTTTAACTCGCGCATCTTACACGTACATATATACCGAAGCTACGTTTTAATGAATGATTATAGTTTCATATATATATATATATATACATATACATATACATATACAAATACATTTTTGATACGCAGGCATATATACCGCTACACGTTCTCGATACATCGCACTCGAATCTAGGACGAATCTAGGCTTCTGTAACAGCGAAGCTGACAGTTCTTCCAAAGATGCCGAAACGTAAGGCGTTCTCTTTCCTCAAATAAAAAATATAAAAACGAAAATATAATAAAAAGACTTTTCTGCCGTCATTTCGGACACGTAACTACAATGGAAACAAATCGATCGCTTCGCAGGGTACGCTTCGAACCTGGCACTCACGCATCCAGTTACTATTCAATTCGTTCTGCCCCTCCCATACCCCTTGCATCGTATGTACACAAACATATATTGTCCTAACTAAACTCGCATTCAGACGATGTCGGAAACGAAACTTGGCCGATCAATTTCGCCGAATCTACTTGCTGTACAGAGCACCACCTAATCACCTATTCTTCGTTCGATGAAAGAAAAATGAGACGACATCGTCGACCGATGAACCCTACGCGGTGATGATTGAAGAGAAATGACTCATAAATAATTGTAAAGTAGCGACGTCACCGGCCTATCATCGGCAAAAGTAAGAAACGGACGTCGATATACTATAAACCAACGAACGATGATGTGTCCTCCCCATTTTTCGTAACACACGTTTAAGTAAAACGAAGATCACTATATGTACATGTACAAAGCTGATCGGTTTCTTGAACTTCGGCAGAGATAGCACGAATCCGTTCGTGAGTTGCCTTCTTTACAACCGAGTCGATGAAAAAAAAAGTAATCGAGCTTTTCCATCTGTGATGGAGCACACGTTGCGCATTGTACAATACGCGACAAAAACATTTACTTTCAACGAAATTGCGAATTGCCCGGTTTGCGCACGTTCACATAGCCGTCCGACTGATCAGGGTGCTTTCGCCGTTTCGCTTAGAAAAATGTGCTATACCTCGCAGACGTCAAAAGGTCGTGTCAAAGGACCGCTCTTGAAACAGTTTGGATGTAATATCGTCCTAAGCAATTGTACGATTTTAACATCCTACGTAGCGTTAAGTGTATTGAACTTCTCGACCGCTCTTTTTGTATACAATAAACTGTCATCTTAGAAGATGATTCCCCTTTGTTCCTGCTCGTTCGTTGACACGATTGGTGAAAGGAGGGAAGTGTGCTGGGTGTAATTGCGACCGAGTCTCCGACGAATCACGAAATTCTCCCAGAACTCGTTGACACGCATCGATTTCCATTAATTGAAATCGTTCACTGCGCGTCAGTTAGGCCCACGATTCGACCGAGACAGATTAGGAAATCTGATGCCGTTGAGCCAACGCACGACCCTCGAACGTCCAATAATATCGTGAATCATTACCTTCGATAGTTCGATGTACCGCATCGAACTGACAACACGAACAACCAAAACTTGCCAACATCGCAATTTTGCTTGTCAACGTCCTAGGAGAAGTGGCTAAGTATTATAAAGATGACACTCTATGTACGACGTAGGTACGAAGCCCTCGATCGGTTGGGAAATACGACGGACCCGCGTCCACCCGTCTCCTTGATCCAGCTCAATCATGTACAATTCTTCTCCGTCGTACATCGGTATAGAACCTTCGCTGGTCGCTGAAAACGAATATTTCATTTATAAATCACCGATCGAAGTCACACGCATCAACAAATGACGCACCATCGAAAGGGTAGAGAGCCCTGCATGTCCCCAACGGTGGTTGAGCGTCTACTTCGTCGACGTAGAACTCTTCTCCCCCGCTGCCAGGAAGAGACGTCCTCGATTCCCCAATACCAGATTCCGGGCTATTCGTGGAACTGTGCATCAGTACCGTAAAGCGAAAAGCGTGTCTAATTGGTCTAGTTAAAAATTCTGATCTATGCACGTATCGTAAGAACGACTCTTTCATTCACTCGACTCTTTCGTTTGATAGAAAAGTTAAATCTTTCTCTCTCTCTCTCTCTCTCTCTCTCTGTTAGATCCCGATACACTTGTAACTGTGTCTGTGGTGTCGTGTAAATATCGTTGAGTTCTGAGATGCGTGTAGCTCGTCGAAACTCACCCGTGGGTCGGCTGCGGCGTACCCGGAGCGCTTTTCTTGTGCGTCGGTTGACTCGCGTTCGTATTGCTCACGCTCGAGTCGGAGGCCGATCTCGACAGGCTCTCCTCGCCTCCCGAATGACTGGATCTCCTCGAACTGAGCGGTCGCGTCGCGGACCCGTTGCTGGTCGGTTTTCGCGGCGCTTGACTGGGACTGAAATTTTGTCAAACGGACGATTTGGTACCACGAGGTGAACATTGCCGACGTATCAGCTGCGACGTATTTCGTGCAAGGTCACCTGGACAGACTGACGCCGGCGCGCATGGCATCTTCGAGGTAACCTTGGAACTTTGCCAGTTCGGCGCCGAGTTTATCCAGCTTGTTGCTCGATTGATTCAATTGCCCTTCTATGCTCATCGGATCTCCCAACGCCGGATTCTGCTCGTACACGCCCTTCATCTTCATCAGACCGTCTCTCGCCGCGGTCTCCTGTTGGATCTTCGCCTGGATCTCGTCCAGCCTCTGTTGCAGCCTCTTCTTCCGTTGATTAGGTGGCAGATCGCTGCAGTCCTCCTTCGCGCCGTCCCCGTATCCAGGCATATTGTTCTACGAACATTCCGTTTTGAGTATCCAAGTTGAGTACACGCGAGTCTCGCTAGAACGTTTAATGGAGTACGATGGGAAAGAAAACAGAAAGAAGCAAATGTTTATCGTAGATGTGACGGTAGAGTTAGATCTACATTGCCGATCGGGAGTTAACGAACAAATGTTTTCCGCTCATTGATCATGTCACGTGAATTGAAATAACAACAACAAAAAATATATATCGTATACACATATGTACGTTAACACGCAATTGTGACTTGTACTGTATTTTCGTATCAGCGGGACTCTTTATGCGAGGACTGTCGTACGAAAGACAATGACGACCGTAAAGAGATAGACAGACCTTCAAAGCTATGCCCACCTCGATCAACTTCTGTCGTTCGCATGAAACAAATTCCAAAAGCGTATCATTCAGCGAATAGGATCGTAGGAGAAAAATTATACTGAAGCGGTGACGCGTCAAGTAAAAACTCAGCAAAGAAGCACTCAGTTTCGTCAATACGCGAAACGCGTTTACGTTTACTTTCGAACACACGCCGCCTGAGTTTGTACTCGACGAGACACAGAATCTAACAAGGCGACACGTAAACGACTAAAACGCGTTTTCGATGCGAAACAAAATGCTGATGTTACACAGTGCGCAGGCGAACAAGCGATTCGTAATCACGTACTTACTAAGTACAACAGTATCCAAATTCATAGTCCACGGTCGATTGGAAACAAGAGACCACAGGCAGACCGAACCATCCACCAAATTAATAAAAATTACAGAAGAAAGATGAGTTATGCTTGCTCGGCGACGGTTACTTCGCGTTGCTAACACGAATTATACCAATGGTATCTGATCGAACAACGAAATGAAAATGTTCTAAACGATACCGTGCTGAGAAACAGAGAAGAACGTTGCATACTACAGGCTCACTGATGCGCATTCGAAAATAACGTTTGGACGAAAGGACCTATCGTGCGTATAACTGTAACATTGCTCTTACTTTTGGTATTCTTGCACTCTTGGAGAGACAAAAACGTGAACAAATACTTGATTCATATCACGTATTTCCGAACATAGATAACAACTACGGCGAGGAATGGACGTACGCGAACGACATTTACCTTATTGCTACTGAATATGCCGAAGAGGCCGACCCTCTTCTTGATTTTACCACCGGAGACGGTTCCTTTCACGGTCAGGTGATTGTGTATCGGTTGCATCACTGGCTGCGACAACTGACTATTGCTGTCGTACGTTTTAGCCACCGAGAGGTCCTCGAACGGGAAGTCGCCCGGCGGTTGGAACCCGCTTTTGTAACGTTCGATCACCAACAACGTGTCTTGCTTCTCGTTGATCTCGTTCGCAGCTTTTTCGATACCGTCTAAGCACTGAGCGATTATCGGCGCCACCGCTCGCTCTATCTCCACGGACTTCAGCATGTAGTTTCGCATATTCTTAATTCTCTTCTCGTCGAGTTCCTGCAACAGAACGCGTAGGGGGTTCAAGATGAAAATTCGGAACTCCGCGAACTCCGAAGATCGAACGTACCTGGAGGTGTTGAAACACCTCCGGCATGGCCGTGTGATAATGCAGCGTCTGCATGTCGTTCGTCTTCTGTAACTGATTCGCGTACTCGGTCTTAGCCTCCTCGCTCTGCTGCGTCTTCAGAGTCATGTTCATCCTCTGCTTCTCGACCTGGTCAGAATATTAAGTTGGTCCGCGTGAGACGTCGCTTCGTTCCCGAGGCCGGACGCCTCGTGCGGTATCACGCTTCGTCTAATCGTCCGATAAAAAGATGAAAACGCGCGTAGATGAAAATCCGTTCACTTACTTCCGCCCTCGACAGATTCAGATCGGCATCGGCTCTCTGATAATTCTCGACCGCTCTTTCCGCCTCGCGGAAGGCTTTCTCGTACGCCTTCCTGGCGCGCTCCAGATTCCCGATCTGACCGGTCAAGTTGGCCATTAATCGCGCGCCTTCTTGGAGGTGCTTCTTACGATCCTCTTTGAAGTCCTTCACGAGGATGTTCAATTCCCTCAACACGTTCGCCTGGAGGTTCTCAGCGATCACCTCCCGTTGCCCTGCCTGATCGTTCACCTCGTTCAGCTCCAGTTTGAACGCCCGACACGGACTGTACCTGCAGCCAGTCGAAGTTCCAATACTCGATTCGTCGCAGGAAACGTGAACACGTCGATTTTATTTTCGGATCGTCTATCACCCTACGCTCGAGAGAGTCGGACGGTGCCGTCCCAGGGTTCAAGTAAACGAACGTGACGCACGAGAACAGAGAGGCCCGTAGGCGCGATTCGAGTCAGTCACTGTTGCTGAACGTACCAAACGAACCACCCACGCGACCCCCCGACAAGAGATTAGCTATTTTCCGTCTCGTCACGTACAGAGTACTTGTTTCTGTTCCGAGTAACCCGGTTTACCTGCAGATCGAATTACTGAGGAACGTTCGAACCGATTAAACGTTACGAATTATCGTACGATCGTAGAGGGTGATTCGTTTGAAATTGAATTGAAGCTGAGACGATTCGGGAAATAAATGGCGAAGATCGCGAGTATACGGGCTGGGCGCGTTGCCAGCTACGGAATCGCCTCGGAGGAAAAGTAAAATCCGGAGAACAGGTCTTTTAACGGGTCGTCGAGTAGACGTAATTTAGAAACGAAAGCGAGGTAGGCGCGCGGCAGTGAAGCGTACTTCAAAATTCGAGACAGGAATTATTTTGAAGTATCGCTCGCGTCGTGTGCAACATTACTACGGACCGTGGATCCGGTATTACATCTCCGAGTTGGCTCATACTCACTGATAATCTTCCTCCTCCTTCTTCTTCGGTTGATAACTCTTCACGAGACGTCTGCAATCAAGAACGAAACAAGATTACCGATGCACCGGCCGAATCCCAAGAAGCCGCGACGATCTCAAGATCCTAACAAGGAAAATAAATTCTCCGTGATTCATCCGAGAAGATATTGCAAGACGGAAAAACCTCGAACGGGGTAAATCTTAGAGCATATACTACATGGAGGAAGCAGGCTTACGGTGACAGTGTAGATGACGGTGAGAGAGAGAGAGAGAGAGAAAGTAGTTTGAGTACTGTCCTTCTCTCTCGGTTGACACGTCTGCGTCTCTACCGTTAGAGAGAGAGAGAGAGAGAGAGAGAGTATCCAAATTATTGCTCTCTCTCTCTCTCTCTCTCTCTCTCACCGTCGTCTACACTTTTTCGCACGGCATCCTTCCTCCATGTAGTAAATGCTGTAAGCTGCAAACGCACGTGCGTCTCGTAAATGATTTATTTTGCGTAAACATCCACAGTCTGTACCGACGACTTTTTCTAATTCCACGCGGAGATCGCGTTTAGGGAATTCGTTGGGCCGAGTAATTCTAACTTGAACGCGCCGGCTGATAAATGTGTGCCGGGCTACTAAACGCGTTATCGTCCGGAAGTCGACGCGTCCTTGATACCAGATCGACCGTACGGTTCGTCGAGCCGGCCGAACGTGCCACGAAACCGGAAAAGCGGCGCGTGAAAACCGGCGACGGCGATTTCTAAAATATCGAGAAATTCGAGCCGTAAACCGCAGCCCGAAGTGGAAGCGAGTGAGTGACCGTGCGCGTGTCAGATTGGAAACGCTATTTCCGAGCCCGTCTGAATTCCTCTTTCTAGGTCTGGGTTACAGATCGAAAAATAGGAAAGCCGCAGTATTTTCTTTCTACGAGTCCGCGTTTCTTTATACTGATCCATGCTGTTTATATATATGCCCAGTTACAATCGTTAGATACTCTTGCGTCGACCGCGTCGAATCTGCAATCTTTTAATTACGATTTACTAAAAACCGAGTGGAGCATCGCTCGACGAGCTCGAGATAATTAAGCGAGCTAGATTTTCAGAGCACACGTACAGTATACTCGCAACGTCGTCGTGGTGCGTCCGGCTCGGAATGCTTTCGAACGAAAACGAACGGTGCATCGAAGGAAATTGCCACGTGGTAAAACGGTACTCGACTCGTACGAATAACACGAGCATGTATCGTAGAAATTACTGCGCATTAAAGCGTAGAACGTGTCGGTGATAATTTATATGCAGCGGAACGTACGTGCCCGGGATCGACGGACGTGTGACGAGCACGCGGATTCATTCTCTAGGCTTGCCGTACGCCAACCGATTCAGGGCGACAGAGATGACCAGGTACGTGAGTGTGCGACGATCGAACTCGGATCGACGAGCACGGAAGAAGTCGTGATCGAGAGTAGCTGAATCGTCGACGAGGCAAAACGTGACGGATGATCTTGGAGCAGAAAATTTTCGCTCGAACGACGGAACGACGTTCCGACTTTATAGTTCCGAGACACCCGTTAGGACAAAACGTGTGCAACAGTAGACGGCATTCACGGAATAAACAAGGGGTCCCTTTAATGCAATAATACAGGCTACGTCTTCTGTGTCCCTGAACTCGTGGGGTACACGAGGCACGCTCGTTATACAGGATGTCCCATTGAAATCGTTAACCTCGGACACTACACCCTTCGTTAATTTATGTACAAAAGAGGAGGCGTGCTCCCCGAGGATTGCTGGCCGGCCGGCGACCACGAATCCACCGATCGTTACGAGAAAGCGGTGAAAAATTAAAGAGAGATTCACGGTTCCAGCTAGGATTTCTTACCTGAGTTTAGCGGCATATTCCACCTCGATGGCGCATCGGTCACGAATAAAGTGGCCATACCTTTCGAGGAACTCTATCCCCTTTTGCGTGTGCAGGGACAGATTCTCGTACTGGTCCTGCAAAAAAAAAACAAGGACCGAGTAAATAAGCGTGTCTCGGTCGTGGATTCATCGACAAGGGTGCCGAATCCGATGCGGTCAAGTGTCGTAAAAATGAGTGAACTCTTAAATTAAACTCTTTCTTGCAAATATACTCTTTTAGAGCAAATCAAGCTCAATACCTCCTCGCGCTCTCTTAAACCAAACAGCACCTGTCTGTCCTGACTGATTCACCTCTCGATTCGATTACTCGAATGTCGTTAACAGGGCTATTTCGAAAGCCGATACTTGTTTGACACATTTAACGATTCCAGCGAAGTCGTAAGAACGAAGCTTCGTATGCATTTTATATCGCAGCCTGTATGATATCGTGCAACGTACCTTTATACTTACTACATCTATCTTTTATACATATCTGCCTTTTATACACTTAGCAACCACTTACACTGGTTAGCTTCGACTATTCTGCTCTGTATCACTGTCACGTTTCATAAATCGTTTCAGACCCGTGAAATAAATAAATAAATGAATGAATCGAAAAACGACATGGCAATTGTAGAACTCGATACACAAGATCGGGGTCACCCGAACGATCCTGCGAGATGATCAATAAATGAGGAGGAGCAAGTGTGTAAATCGGGATTCAGTCCTCTCAGATCGCTAACGAGCCTACGAACTTCCTTACTTGCCATTTAGCTATTGATGCTCAAAGGCTAAAGACACGGTCCAGTCACTGTGACAGTCGGAAGTTCTAAAGTCATCGAAAGTGTTCACCTGTCCAGAGCCTCTGATGGAAACGACCGCCCAAGGTTTACGCCGCTCTCTTCCGGTCGGAGTTGCAACGCGTGATACACGGGGTGCTCGTGTACACGGACGACCCCCTCGATGTACCCCTGCATCGACAGACGCGGTCAGAGCGCGCTCGAGTTTATGTAGGAGCTCGTTAACATTTCTTCCATCGATCACGTCCCGCGCACGTCTGTGTCACATACACGTGCAACACGGACGCGCTCCGTTCCATTCACCGGACCAGGCCAAGACGTGAATGAAAATTCGTCGCCGCGAGGAAGAGCGGATAGCGATTCCGCGACTGCCCGACGGCGCAGTTCTCACAGACGCAATTATTCTACGAACGCAGAAAACGATTACGTCTGTCCCTGACCCGACCGGTCGAAGGTGCGAGCGCGGGTCGCGGCAACGGTGAACAGAGTCCAGTTTCACTTTTCGTGCCGTGCCGCTAAACGACCGGAGATCTTTCTGCCGGTTACCGCGTACGAACTTGCGAAATGCTTCATTGTCCCGAGAAGGGCGGCACCCGTGCACGGTGTGCCAAGAGGTTCTCTCAGTCGTCGACCGCGACGGACGCACTCGCGTTCAGCGTGTCCACCGACCACTTTCGTCCAAACGTACCAGTTTTCTCGTTTACCCTGCGAACGTTCAGAAAATTCTAACTGAAGAAGCCGAAAGGCGGCTTTTCATACGCAGCTGACTGAAAGGTCCATGCGTCGTCACGGCTCTCGCGCCTGAATATACACGACGATCGTTCAAGGCCTCGAGACGATGGAAGAAAACGACGTTCGCCCAGTCGGAGTCGTGGAATAGAAGTTTCATCGTTCAAGGACGATCGTGCCTCGCCGTTGGCGTCAGTAGCCGGCTTAAGGACAGATCGAGCTCCATTTACTCGGATCGTGTTCAGAGAAAGAGAGTGGAAAAGAACGCGACGGATGCCTGATCGGGTCTACTTATACTCTGGCATTCGAATCGCGTTACTTTCATTTCCAGCGAGCGGTGCCGTTCAAGGGCCACGCACCGTTTGCCTGCACCGGCGTTTTCGTCTTTCAGGGGGTCCGCCTCGAAGTGACCACGAATCTGTCGTTGTCCAGCGAACGCGATGCGACGCGACGGAAATCGCGATAAGACGTCGTTCGATAAGATTTCTTTGGAATCGAACAAACTCGCGCGAGTACGTACGTGAGAATCGCAACGAGAGTTCAGCCGTCCATCCAGTTTGGAGCGATATAGGATTAGTCGTTCCCGTTGCTTTTCGGTCTTCCGTGCAAATGGGGTTTTGAGACGATCGAAGGCTTCGAGCAGACGTACTTACTACCGACCATTGCTACTGTTAGGCACGTGACCGTCCAATTTGTGTCAGTTACGACACGTCCCGACGCGCGTCTATGGTCAGACGGATGAGCGGTTGCAGGCCGGAGTCGCGAGGGAAGAGGCGAAGATTTTGCGATATCGATTCCCGGCAACCTCGTTTCGTCGTCGTAAACGGGAATAACGGCGGCGAAGACGGTCGTACCGAGCATAACATGATACTTGCCCGAGGAACGATACGTGCGACGAGTGATACGATACTGTGCCTGGCACCGATCGCACGTCTAAATCAGATACGCGTCGAAGTCGATACGAACGCGGTGCCAACGGATCTGCGTATGATCCGCGACCGAGCCTACCGGGAAGGATGGTCAATTTCCTCCGGTGGACTCGTTCGGAACGGTTCGGTTCCCAAATTGAAAACCGCGTATCACGCGAGTCAATCGTCGCGAATAAATAGATAGAGATGAAATAACTTGACGTTTTCCCACTGGAAAATAGCATCTGGTTCTGTACCTGCGCGTCGAGCGATCCGATTTTCGCTTCGCTTTGGACACCGACTAGACCTAATCATTGGGCCAGTCTCGTTCGTCGGAGTGAAAACACGGACGTTGCGTAAAACGGTCGAACGGAAACGATTTGCTCGACGTTCGGAACAGGATACGAAACACGGCAAGGAACGGGTATATCGATATTAAAAACTGGACACGCAAAACGTTGAGATCGTGGAACGGTTTCTCCGGACCGAGTCCGGTTCCCACGCAAAAATGTTATTTCATACGGGTCGGATTTCGTTGTGCACTGAACGTTTTCACGTCTAATCGCGTTCGCATCGATAAAAATAAAACATGAAAAACCGCTGTCGACAGAAACGTCTTTCGATTTTCATTTCGAAGGACTCTTTCCAAACGCAAAGTGGAACTGTGGTCCTTCCAGGGAGAAGGCGGACGCCTACTTAAAAATGCGCCTAAATCGGAAGTTGCATATTCAAAATCAATCGTTGAACACGATCTGTGTTCACTCTCAATACGTCAACGGAACAAAAATTAACAGTAACAAAAAAATAATGCTACATCATTTTTTATAAACATCTCAGTTCGTCGATACGGAAGATTTTGGACGTTCTACTGTACGTACGACGCATCGTTGCAACGTCTGAGCTCTGACGATCGAGGACGGTCGGCCGTCGTAGTCGAAACTGTTGGATCACCGACCGGTAGGACGCAAATGAAATTATAGTCCATTATGTATCCGGAATCGATTTCGCGAGCAAAACCCCCCACGGCGGACGTATATACGCACGGTCGTCGAGTTTCCCCGCGACCAATCCCGGGGTTTTCTGTGCCGCAGGTCGATAGATGGAAAACGCGCACCGCCGCCGCCGCCGCCCCCGTGACTCACCCTCGGGCTCGACCTTTTTCAAAGAGGTGCGCTCGCAACCTTGCCGCTCGTAGACTACGCATTCGGGTCGGTCTGCTCGTCCCCTGGAGACAAGTTCGGCCCTCTCCATTATACACGCGTACGGCAGGTACCTTTGTCGGACCACCACCTGCCGCCAGCCGTGGTACGTACGTGTACACGTATTATCTGCTACTTCCTTCTCGCTGCCGGGCCGAGTTTCGACTCTTGAAACTGGTTCCCGGTATTCGGAACGCGACGCGACCGACTCGCATCGGGTCGCCGCGTACAAACGTACCCGTGGCAATGGAATAAGTCACGCTTTTCTCGTTTCAAACTCGATGTCCGGTATGCGTTTAACTGTTCATCGTCGTAGATAATATTGGCTCGAGCCTCTACCGCAATTAATAGCCCGTGACGAGACGATCGTCACCTTCTTTTAAATATACACGTATGTATATACGTACGTAAACGCGAATCTAATTGAGAAACTGTTCGAGAGAGGCGCGAGGACAGATCATCGTCCCTTCGAGCGGTAGACACCGAGGTTCGACCGAGTAAAATTTTCTTCTCGTCTCGCAGCCAAGGGTCGCTGAAAATACACGGTTCTACGAGAGCCAAGGAAGAGAAGAGTAGCCGGGAACGTTTCCGAGAGCTGGCCGGCGTTAATTAATCCGACGAGGGCGACAGCGGGAAAGCGTTGTTCAAGGCGGGAAAACCGTGGAAGACGAGTCACCGTGGAAAATCGATGGGCCGACCCGGACGCGTACGTGACGCGTCACGACCGAAAAAACGAAACACCGACGCGGCGACGGGAGGAAACGTTACAAAAATAGGTTGAACAGGGAGGAACGGTGTGAGACGAAAGGCTGCGGGCCGCCGGGAACAAGTGTGCATTATGAGTCACGAAATCGCGCGCTAGGGTGGTTCCGCACCCTCCGCCGCCACCCTATCGATCCCGCATTTCTCTGTACGCGCACTCACGCGAGTTCCGAGGAAGGAACGAGAAAGGAGCGACGGAACCGAGCGAGACGAGCATAGGACAGGGCAGGGTGACACCAGCAGACGGACGGAGAAGCTCGTGAAACGCGTGTGAACTCGGAATAGGTACGCACAGGCGTGTGCGTGCGACAATAAATTTGCATTCGGGATTCACGGTAACGAACGTGAGAGCGGTCGATGACGCGCAGGGTGAGCGAATCGTCGAAACCTTTTGAATTGAAGTTTAGACAGGGGTGGTTTCGAGTGGCGAGCGCAGTTGGTCGTCGGTTAAATATTGAACGAACCGATCGAGGGACGTGTCAACGGTCTCGAGGACGAGACTAAATATGTTATGCTACTAGAGTCTCTTTCTCTCTCTTAACTCTTTCGTTTGCTCCTTCGTTAATCGTTCTCAGGTAAAATCTCAGAACGCGATTGATGAACCTCCCCTGGTTTCTCGGTTTCCAATCGTGCAACGACGGCGTACTCTTTCCTCTTTCGCAGCGAAACTGTTTCCATATTAATTTCCCTAATGGTTT